TGCCAAGTGAGACTCTGAGGGTCAGCTTCTTCCAGCGTAAAATGCAGACCACGTCAAACTCTTACAGAGATTTCTTGTCACTCTTCATTCAATTCCCTTTCCAGCCATGCTACCTTCTACCTCTGCAGAACACTTCATTCTCCACACACATCTGCCCCTTCTCTTACCTCCCTGCCCCGCACCCCTTTCATCTGGTTATTCTTACATATCTTTTATGTTTTAGTATAAACATCACAGTTCCAGGTCGGCTTCACAGACCACCTACTTCCCATCAGGGTCTGGGCCAGAATCCTGCACCCGATCAACCACAAGTCTTTTTCACACTGAATTCTTCTTTATTTGTCCACTAGATCCTGCATGCCAATCCAGCCCATAGCTGTTTTATTGGAAAGCAGCCACGCTCATTCATTTATGAATCATTTATGGCTGCTTTCACACTACAACAGCAGAGTAGTCATAACAGAACCTGGATGGCCTGCAAACCTAAAATATTTACTATCTAGTACTTTACAGAAAAAGTTTGCTGGCTCTTGGTCCAGACTGTAGCTTTTTTGAGGACAGGGCCATGTGTCACGTTGGCAGTTTTACCCCCAAGGCCATGGGATCTTGCACAAAGAGTGTTCCTTCAAAATTTGAGGAATAAATAAACGAACACAAGCATAAACAAAATTGTGGTGGAAATCCAAGGATAGTCTTAAAGAAAAAAAAGTACCACTTAAAGAAAAAAAGCACACAATCTATATACCTCAATAAACTGTATATTGAGAACTAATTCCAATCTGAAGCCTAATTTTAAAAAACAAATCTCCTAAATAAAATCACATTAAAATATTTTTCACCTAATTCAAACTCCTTTCAGGCTCCTGAAATTTTAATCTATTGTCCGTTACTTTTACCCTGAAGGTGAAACATCTTCTGTCTTCAGGACTTTTTCTCCTTATAACACGAACAGGCATGGGTTAGAGAGGTAACCCAAAGCACCGTACACTCACAGACAAAAGGTATCAGGATATCAAGTGCCTTTATGTATCTACTCTCATTGATGGAATTCTTATTTAGTTATCTTACTTTTGAGTTCTGCAAGACACCTTTTCACTAGCCCCATTTCTTAAGTGTCTCTCTCAGAGGACAGTGAGCTGCATACAAACCACAAATCCACGAATAGAGCGAACTAACAGAAATTAGTTCTTACACATTGTGGAAATCTCGATACTACGTGGCGAGTTGCCACCAGCTGAGAGGAACTGGAGAAAAAGAGCTATTTAAAATAGATCTTTCTATTTCAAAAAGAAAATGTAAAAAAATACTTGGTTCTTTTCATCAGGTATTGGAAGAAAATACTGGAAAAAAAAAAAAAAGGTCTTTCTTGCAAGAGGAAGGAGGTTTAATATGCACACACAAATCACACAACTAAATCCCTGCCCACCTGACAGATGACAAGGTGTTTGGCAGTCACACTACAATGGCAGCATCACGCTTGCCTTTGACGGGAACCTCGGAGAAGAACCATGAAGCCACTTAATATTCCGAATAGAAATTAACAGCTTGACAATAGGTGAGGCAGTTCACTCAGTGTTTTGCCTAAAGGGCTAAATTAATTGTGTTCTGCTAGCTACTATACTATTTGATGAAAAAATACCAATCATCCAACAGATCCCAAGAGGAGCAGCACAGTAGGGTACAGATACAGTAATGGCATGAAAAATAAAAGTGTGTCCAAAGATACTTTGGACACCAGAAATGAAATATTAACATAGTTTGAGAACAATGTCAACATGAAAATTAAATCGGATCTCACACGATTGTTCTACTCAGTTTTTTATTGATAGAATTTTCTTTCAGGTGGCCACCAGTGAATCATCTCTCTCCTCCCCCTTAGGCCCCATAAAGAAGAAAAAAACCCTAAGGGTGATCATTAATGGGAAGACTCAATGCCCTGCAGAGACAGATGGAAATGCTGAGCACTACTCTGGGTGTGCACAAATAAATGTACCGATGGGCCGACAAAAACTTGGAATAATTACCCCAAAGTGTTTATTAAGCAACTTATGGCTCAATGTGCTCTTCAGACATGGTACAAAGGGATTTTATTGTGTTACAGATTGAAGAGTACAAGATAGCACCAAAGTTGATTTAGTACATCTGCAGGTTATCTATACACAATGGAGGTTATTCGATAACTTCCACATACCCTGTATTTCACGTCATTACAAAATCAGGAGGAAAAAGCTCAGTTAACGCAAGATATTATCATGCCAAGAATGTTTTCTGTTAGAAAATCTTAGCTGATTTAACAACAAAGAACATTTATAAAGATACTCTTCCATGGGTGTTCCACATTCTCCAGTAGCCTGGATTCATAGAAATATTCAGAAAAATACAATTATCTTCTCAGTAGCTATCTATGATGACCATTTGCATCTCAGTAAACTTCAAATTTATCTTGATGAAGTTAACTCTATCAGCTCACTAATTTAAGAAACAGTATTTTGCAACCAGACGTAGACTAAAGCACAGGAGATTCCTTAACCTTGTAACAGGACACTCTCTTATTAGAAAAAGACATCCCAAAACCAGGAATATCCTGGCCTAGATAAGATTCTACTGGTTTTATCTTTTAATTACAAACTGACCACATTGCTATAAAGCAGATATAGTTAATCCACAAATAAAAGCAGCTTGCTAATGTCACTGGAAAACAAAGGTTAAATGGAAATTTCAATTCGTCAGAGAAATTAAATTCTTCTAAAATAAGAGCAAGCTTATTATTAGCTCCTGCCATAGTAAATCCAAGCCCCAGGACCAAGAATGTTCCATGACTCATGGCTTTGTTTGAAAACAACTACAGTCAAATCCATCACATTCTGTACCTGCCATTACGATGGGATGTAGCAAAAGCCAAAATGACCTATTACATTATTTAAAAATAGAAATCTCTTCTGGAAAATGTTTTTCTAAGAGCCTCTGAGTACAGGCTAATAAGTAAGAAGTAAAAATACATGGAAATTGGTGCCGAGCAAATCCTCCATGTGGTGCTCTAACAGCAATGGCCCCTTCCTTGCCCAGCGCTGTTCTGCACAGCTTAGTCTCATGCTGCAGGGCAGAGGGCCTGGTCCAGGGTAGAAGCTGGTGGCAACTTTCCCTGGTGCCCTTCACAGCTCCCACTGCAGAAAGAAGGGAGGAATCCAATGGAAAGGCCAGGCAAGCAGTCATTCTCCAGATGGTATTTTTCAACGTGGTCAGTGGTGCTGTTAGTAAGATTTGTATAGACTGAATTGGGCCCAAATGCCATTTTTCTGTTTCCTCTGCAAAGTGGTCCCTCTATAGTTCAATTAAGTGGGTTTTGACTTAAATACTGCAAAAGAAAAATTTCCATATGATAAATCCCCTTTGCTCCTGTTCTGAAACTCTCTTCCATGCTAGTCAGCACAGTGACGCCAGTCAGCACAGTGACGCTCGACAGAGAGAAAAGGAACTGCACAGTACTGCTGCGGGCACTGTGTGAATGAGGAAGTGTGAGGTATGAACACACTTTGTTGTCACTGTTTTTCAGTGAGTGAGAAAAGTTACTTAATGGGAACTGCATTCTATAAAGTTTGTGCTTTTGGAAGATCTGATTTGTAAATGTTCAGCTTTGAAACTCGAGTGACTACTGGAGAGGTAACAAGGATGGAAGTTGCAAAGCAAAGGCTCACATGAAGGAAGGACCCCGTAATGGATCTGGGTGACAGAGCAGAGTGCTTGGACGCACATGCAGACATTACGTGGACAGAGCATTCCAGTGGTAAGTGACATAGATCAGCACTATAAAGAAAGTATGGACAAGACAAAAGCTTATTAGGTCCCTGGAGCGAAAGGCAGTAGTTGGTTGTGGGGGTTTCTCCCCGAGGGCCAGAAGAGTGTCAACAGTCTTTCGAATGTGATGAAAATCCAACTGCAGGATGTCACACGGAGAGCAGAGGTCAGCCTATTCCGAGGGCAGCCAGCAGAACAGAAAGAGACAGTGCATACAATTAAAGATACACAGAAGAACAGCTGGAAAGAAACACATTTTTGGTTACTAGCAAATAGCAAGAGTAACCTCTTATTTCAAGCAGGTAAAATCTGTTCCAGCAAAGATTTAAAAAATTTATTTGAAAAGAAAAGTAGCATACCAAACGTGTTTTATGCAAAGATATCCTTCACCCATAATCTTACTATTGAGGAACAGAAAGTTCTGCAATTTATATGTCATTCTGGCATTCAAACAGTTTTAATATTCAAGTGGTATAGTGTGTTCACCAATGGCATAAAAATAAGAGCTTTTCACTTGGGACCTCTAGGTCTTAACTTTAGCAAAGGAAAAAATATAAGACTTTAAAGTTTAATCCCCATCTTTCCTCACAGTTCTCTAAATGCTTTTTAAACCCTGGTTTATGAAGAATGAATAGAAAGTTTTTCTCTCTGTAAGGTAATACATACACCTAATTTATTTTCCTTTTGGGATTACTGATAAGCTCTGAAGAATGCTAGTTCTAATTATGTCCTTACATGTGTTAAAAACTAAATTTAATGTCATGTTTTTGCAACTACACATAAACCAAAATCTAGAGGCAGCTTCTTAGATGTGAGGTTAGAATAAAAGTACATTCTCACATAGGATTGCTTTGTAAATTTCTTCACCACTAAACAAGTATGGTTTGGGCTGGGGCACAAATCTCCATGCACGTTTTATCTACTTTACGGTCATCATATAAGGAGGCAGAGCTCCTATTTTATCAACTAAATGCAAAAATAAGATGCTCATTCTTCTGAGTTGACCTCCAGATATCTATTACTGTCAGGAAGCAAAGAGTTTTCTGATACAGTGAATTCCTGAACTGGGAATGACAACAGCTTAAAATTTACAGTGATTATAATTCATATGTCAGTATGAAAAAAAGTTGTAGCTTTGTGTCCAAATTAAACAAGGATTGAAAATATTTGTGATATATGCAGCTTTATTTCTAAATCAGGCAAAGCATTTAAAATATATATAATAGATATTTTATAACATACTTTGATACAATATTGCCCTTTGTTTTAGCCTCATGGCTAAGCAGATGCAAATCATGGAGCAACTGAAAGATCCTGAGAGTTCTGTCTTGCTTGTGTCCTCTGACGTTATCTTGATGCCCTTAGGTAAGTAGGAATACTACAATATCGAGTGGGTTGAATAAGATGAAAACATTCTCATTTTAATTTATGAAGGTAGAGATACTCAATAAAAGGTTTTTAGTATAATAAGTCATGTTCTATCTATTCAGATTAGGTGTCATTTTTTCCAGTGGATTTGGAGGAATCGAGCTACCACTGTTATTTTCCCAATAATTAAAACAGCTACACATAGATTGGATTTCACTGAGAGAGATGCTAGTCAAGGATTAACAGATGGGGAAACATCTGAGAGTTCTCCGCTGCAATGCTGTGCTTAACCAGTGAAATCCAAGCAAAGCGGACACAAGACAAAAGGCATCCACAGACGGAAATGTGATTTTCACAAAAGTGGTATTTCCAGGTTAAAGGCAAATCATTCTATCTCCGTATATATTTCAATACATTTCCCAGACCTCCAGCAATTGCATTAGTGAACTTGAGTCAGATCACCTTTGCAGTTTTCAGTGTACACTTCTCACGCAGGTAGGCACCACAGACTATTCTGCTTATCCTGGAAATAATTTCATGCTACCATAGATCACGGGCTTAATTCAGACTAAAGTGCATTGGGGCTAGATTCACAGTCCATGGTGACCGGCTTAAATTAAATCGCTATCTCTAAAGGCATGGATTTAAGATTGTCTGGTAGGCAAAAATCTGAGTCATCCTGAAGTGTGGAATGTGGGCCACTGTGGCCCTCTGAGCCATGCTCTGAGTCTAGCTGACTCACAAACCCCCTGCAAAGATGCTACAATAGGAACCGGGGCTGAAACTGCTAGGGAAACCTGGGAGTTTTCTGATCCTTGAGCTTCCCAAATTTCAGTCTTTAATTATAGGGATTTAGAGCTTATATGTTTTTTCCTTCCATAAAATTAAAATAGGAAAATATTAAAAAGAAAGGAAATTTAAAGAGGCAAAAGTTCGTATTTACAAAGCATTAGTAATTACTGCAAGGCATTTAAAAAACACAGTGAATATAGTCAGAGTCCCTAGAGGCAAGTGCAGATGCTAATTCTCATTATGGTGAATAGAAATCACAATTGCTAGAGGGTAGCGGATTCTCTTAGAAGCAACAGTCAGTGTGTAACTGAGATTACTATTAAAGATTGGCTCAGGTTCCCCAAATATTACAGACACAAACAGAAAGGTAGATGAATCTGGCAAAGGCGTTCAGAGTGTAATCGAGTCTTAATTCTAAGAAATTTAGAATATATTCAATTTATTTAAATATAATTTAAAAGTTGAAAGTCAGTATGCTTACAAAGTATTTTTTTTAGTCCTCAAAACCAATAGGCCTGATGGTCAGTTCCTCCTATTGACGTTCAAACAGCAGCCAAGGCTTAACTACAGCAGGAAGGCATACACAATGCACACAAGGTACACACCTGAAGTACCTGGCTCAGATGACCAGGGAGACTGTGCTATTGGGCACAGTCTACTACATAAGACACCTACTACATAAGGCTACTCTACTAAGACCAGGAGACAACAGCTCTACATAATACACAGAAACAAACACAGTGAGGTAGCCAAAATGGGGAGACAAAGAAACATGTCCCAAATGAAAAAATAGAACAAAGCCCCAGAAAAAGAAGTAAACAAAATGGAGACAAGCAATCTACCAGTTGCAAAGTTCAAAACACTGGTTATAAGGATGTTCAATGATATCAGCGAGAACTTCAACAAAATGTTAAGAATCATAAAAATGGTGCTAGAAAACCATTCATAAATGAGAATACAATAACTAAAATGAATAATATAATAAACGAATTAAAGAATACATTAGAGGGAATCAACAGTAGAGTAAATGAAACAGAAGATCAAATCAGCAATTTAGAAGATAAGGTAGCAGAAAACAGCTAATCAGAAAAGAAAAAAAAAATGAGGATAGTTTAAAGAGCCTCTGGGACAACATCAAGTGTACCAATGTTTGCATCATAGGGTACCAGAAGGAGAAGAAAGAGAGCAAAGAATTGAAAGCCCATTTGAAGAAATAACCTGGTGTAGTAAATAGACATACAAACCTAGGAAGGACATAGAGTCCTAAACAAGATAAACCCAAAGAGGCCCACACCAAGACACATCATAATTAAAATGACAAAGGCTAAAGACAAAGAGAGACTCTTAAAAGCAGCAATAGAAAAGCAGTTACCTACTAGGGAATTCCCATAAGACTATCAGCTGATTTCTCAGCAGAAACTTTGCAGGCCAGAAGGGATTGGCAGGAAATATTCAAAGTGATAGAAAGCAAAGACTGACGACCATGATGACGCTACCCAGCAAAGCTATTGTTTAGAATCAAAGGACAAATAAAGAGCTTCTCAGGCAAGAAAACACTAAAGGAGTTCATCAACATCAAACCTGTATTACAAGAAATGTTAAGGACTTCTTTAAGAAGAAGAAAAAAGATAAAAACATATGAATAATAAAATGGCAATAACTACATATCTATAAACAATTACTTTAAATGTAAATGGATCAAATGCTCCAATCAAAAGACATAGGGTAGCTGAACAGATAAGAAAACAAGACTCTTACATATGCTGCCTACAAGAGACTCACTTCAAATTGAAAGACACACACACACACACACACACACACACAAAACTGGGGTAGCAATACTTATATCAGATGAAGCAGACTTTAAAACAAAGCTATAAGAAGAGTCAAAGAAGGACTCAGTAATCCCACTTCTGGGTATTTCCAAAGAAACACAAAACACTACTTTGAAGGGACACGTGAATCAATATGTTCATTACAGTATTATTTACGATAATCAAGATATGGAGGTAAAATGGGTGTCCATCAATGGATGAATGGATAAAGAAGAGGTGGTACATATATACAATGAAATATCACTCAGTCATAAAAAAATGATTGAAATATTGCCACCTTCAACAACAGCGATGAACCTAGACAAATGCCATATGATTTCATCTACTTGCAGAGTCTATAAGAACAAAATAAACAAATAAAACAGAAACAAAGTCATAGATAGAGAATATTTTGATGTTTGCCAGATGGGAGGGGGGCTGGGGGATGGGTGAAAAATGGGAAGGGATTAAAAAACACAAATTGGTATTACAAAATAGTCCTGGGGATGTAAAGCACAGCATAAAGAATATAGTCCTTAATATTGTAATAACCATGTATGGTGTCAAATAAATGGGTACTAGATTTGTTGGGGTGATCACTTTGTAAGTTATACAAATGTCTAATCACTATGTTGTACTTCTGAAACTAATATAATATTGCATGTCAACTGTAATTGAAAAAATATTTAAAAAATGAAATGCAATAAAGAGTGCAAACTTGTTAAATTAAGGACTTGCTCCTTATAGATGTCTGAAGCTAAAGCTACTTATTTAAAATCAAGTAGAAAAATTTACCTAGTGAACCAAATAAATATCTACTTTCTAATTTGATGCTTCATAAAACAGAGATTTCTTTCCACCTGAGACAATTTAAAAATAGCCCTAAATTTGGATCAATTTGGAAACCCCCAACAGCCAACCATAAAACTTCTACATCAAGGTCAGAGGCCAGGAATAGCCAAGCTGACTTGGAAAAGGCAAAAGAAGGCTCAGTATGTCCACAAAGAGCCCCATGACCCCAATGCTTAATTGGAGTGAGATTTTTGGGTGAAACAAAGAATACATCCTGAAAAATTTAGAAGCCCACCAAAGGTAGGCCTGTCATCAAGATCAAATTGAAGCTTGACCAGAGGCCACTGATGATTGCAAAATCTGACCACTACCAGCTTTGAGTACAAGCTTAGGAAATTCTTTAACTCTTCTGAACCTCAGTTTCTTCACCGTGTGGTGATAAAATATTTACCTCAAATCCTCAACAGTGAGCGTTTGAGATGATGCGTGTACAAGATGTTCTCAGTAAATGGTTAACTGCTCCTAATTTTAAGGCGTTCGCCCTAGGGCACATAACTAAGTAACAGCACAGGTGGGTCTGATTCACCCATACCGTTGTGCATTCCCTCACTCTGCTCACAGACGCTCCTCCCAAGCCAGGTTTATTCAATTTGTGTCCCTTTAGTTGGGGAACTGGCCCCAAACAGAAAAACAAACACAAAAAAACAAGAAATGGGCAGCAGGAGAGGAAGTGACCTATGCCGAAATAACTATCCAAATAAACACTGTCCCCATACCGAAAAAGAACCTTGCCAATGAGTACCATTTCTGGTCCATTTCAATATTTCCTTGGCATTCTCCTCAATAAACCTCTTCCTCATCCCAGAATCCCTCACAGTTAATGGCAAATATGCCTGCTGTCATTCTAACAGAATTTCCTCAGAATCCCATCACCAACTTCTTTCTGTGACATCATCTCCTTTCTATCAGTGGTGTCCACTGTTCCAATCCTGTCTAAGATTCCCGCCCCTTAATTAATATTTGAGGGTATAGATCCGGCCTTATCTAAATGTCGCAATTAACAGACAGGTCTAGAGTTGCCTTACCTGTCTACATACTCTAACCTGCAAACAACTGAGCTGCTTACACTGTGCAACTCTGAATGCAGCCTATCTGGAGACACGACATTTATAGGTAAGCCACACCGGGACCGCCCTACTAAAGCACACAATAAAATGCTTCATGAACCTTGATCAACCCCAAGGCAGACACCTGGGAATGTCTCCATGAGGACTTCTAAAGAAAATACAACACCTGAAACAATTTTAAAATTGCTTCCATCTCATTGAATTAATTTATATGTAATAATTTAACTAAATCTGCTCAGCAACCACATTCCATCCATATGAACAATTATATAAGCTGACAACCCTGACTTTGGGTTGTAGTTTCAAAATGTGATTCAATTATAAAGGGCAACAAATTTAGGCTGAGAGCACAGCTGTGACTTTTCAGTCTCTACAGGATGATGTATTATTATCAATTAGATATTTAGCTTAAAAATTACAGAATTCAAGATCTCTGTGACTTATGGGTGTGTGTATTTAGATAAGTTATAGATGGAGAAGAAAACAGGAAAAACTTGCAAATTAGGAGGAATTAGCTGTTTGTTACTGGGAAATCAATGACTATTTTGTTACCCAAATATTAACTCTGATGCAAATAAGAAAATGTAACATTACAGGGCCTGTTTTTAGATACCAGTCATTTTAAATGTATAACTGCAAATGGAGAATTTCTGCAACTAGACTTGTGATATAACTATATTTTTAGTGCATATCATCAATTGTAGTGTGCCACATATACACTCAAAACATCAACCCTCTTTAAGAAGTAAAATAAATGTAACAATCTAAGTGGGAGGGAGCCTGGAACAATTCATTCCACTTCTCCTCAAATTAGTATCCTGTTCCTAGATGAAAATACTTCCTCATTTCCAATGACTTATTCCTCATCCATTCTGTTAGAGATGAAAGCATGCTCCTTTGAGTATACAGGAAGATTCGCCAATTGCCTTCCAGTTGGCAATTTCTGGTTTCCACTACAATATTCCATCTTTCTTTTAACATATCTCATTCAAGAAGTTCAACTGCTAACTAAAACTAACCAGCAGACTTTTTTAAGTAGCAATGAACTTAATGTAACTCTAGTCCCCAGTAAAATGTAACTGGATTGTTCATCATGATGAATATATATTTACACACATACACACACACACACACACACACACACACACACACTTGCATGCCCATATACAGAATGCAAAACTGAAAATCACCTCAAATCTTAAAAACAACTTCAAAAATAGCCTAAGTGATATATTTTTTAGTAAGCAAAGTTAAGTGGGATATCAGCAAAAAAAGCTCATTTACTCCTTATAATTCAATCTTCTCAGGAATCATGAGTTGCCTATTAATTAGTGCTAGGGGCATAATTCAGAAATTAAAATAAAATTTTCTCTGCATTTTTTTATGATAACTTAATTTATTTTTGTCCACCTTAAAAGAAAATCATAATTATCAATATTTATTCACAGTAATTGGTAAAGAGCATTTCCATTTCATTTTGTCTTATCATAAGCCAAAAAACTTGGATGAGTTTAAAAATATCACAGGGGATTAGGTCATAACTCATTAGTGCTTTCTAGCACAGACATGAATAATTTGCCATCTGACCAGGTATGAAAGTTTTGATTCACACATGGGAAATTTTATTATTAGCCCATTACAGAATCAAATTATTAAAAAAGGTATGTGTAATTTTCACAAATATTTGAAGTCACCAATGTATATGAAATAGCAAAATGTACACATACTATATAGACACACAGATTAACATTGTTGAAAGACATCTGAATTGATCACAAAGACATTCAGTCCATATATAAAGATTACACTCTTTTAAAAAATGAATTCGTAAGCTACTTTTATTGATACAATTCTCTGTTTCCTCAAATAAGATTAGAAATTCACCATTAAGCCCTCACCTTTGAATTTCATCAAACAAAAAAAAGGAAGAAAAGAGAGGAAGGAAGGAAGTGGGTAGGTGGGGGAGGGAAGCCTTTTTCAATTCCAATATCTAACTCCTGTCACTGACTAGAATTACATGGAAATGTAATTCCTTCACGTACTCAAAAAGTGTCTCATGATAGAGTGTGTAGTTGCTTTATCCCTGGAACATATAAAAGATCGAAGAAATTATAAGAAATAGAATTTCTGTCCCTTTCTGTTTATCACAATGATGATAAACTTCTCAACTTACCCCCAAATTCTGAGTAGACTGGCTCTTGTCTAAGAAACCATTTTATGTTACTAATAGCAAAGTCTTTAAAAACGCCAAATTGGCTGAGGCTGAGGCTTAGCTTGCGAGAAAGAAAAGTAGCAAACTAGAGGTGGGCTGGACATAGAGACTTGCCAAATGGGTCTAAAGCAGACTAAAGGAGAAAATATAAATGCAAACAGTTAACAAACTATAAAGCAACATAAAACATTATTATTATTAATGATTAATGATTAATAATAATAACAATAATTAATATTTTCAATGCTGATTATTTTGATCTACATACCCAAAGTGCAACTACAGAGAATGAAAATTAATAAATTAGTTGTCAACTACAGATCTGTTTTGCTTAAGAGCTTTGGATAAGAAAAACTATAAGCTCCAAAATTCTGCCCTATGAACCGGAGAGAAAGCTCAATGAAGCCTCAGCAACTTCTGCTCTGGGAAGAAGGAATCAAGCTGATTAAATTTTTTTTCAAGTTTGGAATTACACATTTATTTCAAAACCTTAAAGAAATTATATTCTCCTTTTTCTTCAGAATTGACCATACCGCTTTAAGCCATTTTTATTTCATTGCAATAGAGCAATTTAAACTAAAATTTTACATAACATATTCGATATCATTCCTCAAGAAAGACTGAGATTAAAAGGTATATACAAAGTTGTAAATCTATTCATGGGTTCAAACACATATATTAAATAAAATCTTTACTAAAACACGGTTATTTGGGCAAATTTGATGTTACCTCTGGTACTCCTAATTTTCGGCATGCTTCCAAAAAATTTTCCACATTTCTTCTGCATTTGGCCATGCTAAGCTTGGGCTATAAATGCAAATACGCAGAAATAATACATTACTAAAATAAATCATTTTAATGACAGGTTAAATTTTAAGTTTTCTAAATGACAGAAGTAATACATGTTTACTGGAGAAAAAATATATAAGCAAATAGAGACAATAAAAAATTATCCAGAAATGTCGACCCAGAGATAAGAACTATTAATATTTTGAATTATGTTTTTCCAGATATCATGTGTGTACATTTGCGTATACAAAGACATACATATATATATATATACACAGACATGTCTATATGCTGAATTTCTGCATATATGTATCTATACATATATACATATATGTGTATATGCAAAATTTTCTGCATATGTATGTATGTGTCTGTATGTGTATACCTATACACACAGATACATACATACACACACACACACAGTTTTTAGGGATCATACTCTTGTATAACTTACTTAGTTTATCTAAAAATACACCATAAGTATCACCTTTTCCCATCAGCAAATATATTTCTATATGAAGGGTTAAATTCACCAGGCCAACTAAACTCCTTTCCATTAAAGCAATGGATTTAATCAGAAAGAAGTAACATCAAGGTAAACAGCACTAAACAAGATAGATGTTAAGGACTTAATGCAATAGAGTTGATCCTGGCTAGGTGACTTCCAAGGTATGGAATAGATACCAGGCACATCTGATTCACACATTTTAATTCTTATATGTAAGTTTTAAAAGCTTTACTGTTAAATTTTAATATTTCACTATTAGTTCTTTTAAAAAGGAAGGCAAGAAGCATGAATGACTCCAACAGTCTAGGTGTAGAAGCAAGAGTAGATCTGGAATTTGAATACAAACCCTACATCCTTAGCACCTACTCTTCCTGCTTTGCTTAAGGAACAGTAAATAGTGTGAATAGGAATTCTTTCTCTCTACTTGTCTGATCCCTATGTAGGCTTCAAAGACAAGCTTATCCCTGATTCCCGCATCCTCATCTGACTGACCATAAAGCTGACTCTGTACCTCACTTCCGGGTGGTAACACACTCTGAGATATAGAGGAAGAGGATCCTAATGCTATGCTGGCTTTATCTCCCCTACAGAGGAGACAAGGATTTATCTTCACCTTTCCAACTGTTCCCCCAGTACTTCCAATGTACCCTTGAGCAAAGTGAATGATCGAGGAATTGTTGAATTAAAAACTGGCTGACCAACCTCTGGTTTGATAGTTTACTAATGATCTTTTACATAGAATCTACATCTTTTCAGACTATCCTAAAATCCCCAATGATTAATAAAGAGATTCCATTTAAAAGAGAAGCTACCAACCAAAAAAAAAAAGTTTTGTCAAAGACTTCTTACTATTAAATAACCCTTTGTGAGAAATGAATCTTTATGTCTGTAAAGTCTTAAAGTTAGCACCTCAACCAGTAATTTCTTAAATGTGATTTGCTTTATATTTGAAATAAATTCCTTTTTTTTTTGTAATTTACATATTTATTTTAAATAGCCTCCCTTTTTTACAGTGAAAATGTTGCTTTCTTCAGATCTATTCCTTTTCTGCTCTTCTAGTGGTTTGGAGCCCAACAGAGAGGATTTGAAGCAGGGTCCTGTGATCCCATTGGCATCTTTAACCAGCAAAACTGTCCCCAAAGAGTTTGTTTTATATAAAACTTAGTTTCTCTTTATGCAATGTTACTTACAACTGCTGGTGAGGGGACATGGATGCTTGCAACAGATCGTGGGCGGATATGATTGACCAGATGGCAGAGGACAACGCCATCCATGAGCGCAGCCCCCAGGTCCTCGTGCAAGCTGACCTTGAGTCTCATCTCAATGCTCTGTGGAGGAATCAGAACATTATGGTAAATGAATGACCACATACATGATGGTGGTATACTCCGTAGCCTAGGTGTGCAGTGGGCTATACCATGTAGCTTTGTGTAAGTGCATTCTGTGATGTTCACACAACGACGAAATTGCTTAATCACACATTTCTCAGAATGTATCCCTGTTATTTAGCATGTATAGCATGTGAGCATGTATATGAGATGCTCACAATTCAAAAACTTAAGTGTAAAAAAGATGCTAGTAGAAGCCAAAATATTAACAGTGGTTATCTTAGAGTGGTGGGATAAAAGATGATTTATTTTTCTTCTCCATTTCTCTATATTCTCTTTTTATTCAATCAGGATTATTTCCCATAATATTTTCAATTAAAAACTATTTTTAAAAAAGGTGACAACAACAGGATTTCTAAAAGAATGTAGCATATTCTTGAAAAATTAATAAAATGTACAAATGTGTAGAGATACATGATTCAGTGTCCTCTTAAACCTTATAAAATAATAATTATATATTCAAATTGGAAGTTGAGGAGTCAGAGTTTTTCTTTTATAATTTGGGGAAAATTATTAAATGAGAATTTAGCACACAGCTCTGACAATATTATAGCAGTTTGGATCTTATTTGTAAAAAATACTGGAGAGTTCCATACTGAATTATGGGACAAAATTTACTGCCCATCCTAATGCAGCTAGAGGCAGATTTGTAAGAGAAGACAAATTGATCTTTTCTTCTCCCTATGTTTTCTGAGGTTAAAAAAAAAAAAAAAAAAAAGCGGTCAAAAATTAGCCATGATCTCTGCCATCACCAAGCTTAAACTCTTCAATGGCACCTAGCACAAGATGTCGTTCTTGGTAGGAACTCAGATAGGCTGTCTATCAAATGCTTGACTAAAAAGTTCTGTCCAGTTTTGGATACAAAGTGAGGATAACTATAAACACCTTTAAATTAATGGATTATTATTAAGTAAACAAATAACAGTGCATTATTTTAAAGTATATCTGAGTTGAAATAATGCTAGCTTTATACATATGTGTTAAGTAGTCTACCTACATTATGTCCTATATTTCTCACAAAACCCCTCTACAGCAGATTGTAACTATTTTTTTTAATACATGAAGAAACTGAAAAAAAAAAAAAAAAGAAAAAAGAAAGAACAGAAAAAACTGACACTCAGGGATGTTAAGTGACTTGCCCAATATCAAATAATCAATAGGTGACCTGGCTAGATTTGAAACTAGGTCTGTTTGCAGTGTTTCAAAGTCTACTTTTTAAAACTACAGTTGACTCCTGACTATCATAGGTTTAAACTGTATAAGTGGGTCCACTTATGTGAGGATTTTTTTTCGATAAATACATACGGTGATGTAAATGTATTTTCTTATCGTTTTCTTAATAAAATTTTCTTTCCTGTAGCTTACTTTGTTGTAAGAATACAGTATATAATACATATAACATACAAAATATGTATTAATCGCCTGTTTATGTTCTCAGCAACACTTCCGGTCAATGCGCTATTAGCAGTTTTGGGGGAGTCAAAAATTATACTCAAATTTTCAACTGTGCAAGAGGCAGATGACAGAATTCCTAACCCCCCAAGGCTGTTCAAGAGTCAACTGTATAGAATATGGCTTCAATTCTGAAAATTATTATTCGATTATATCATATTTCTTGGGTACCTCACGGAGTTGTTCCACCAGTTCTTTTTCTTCTCTCATCTGTTCCATTTTCCTCCGAATTGTAAACTGCGGGTCTATAGATTCCAAATTTCTCTGAGGTCTTAGAAATACTATAATAGAAAGGGAAAAAAGCCTTTATGGAGTTTCTAGTAGAGGCTGCCATAAGACTATTCATATTTAAACTAAACAAATAGTTTATTTATTTATCCCAAATAATTTATCACTCACAGAAACAATGATAAAAGCATGACTTCACATGGAAAGTGCGATTCAAATATTCACAAGAGATTATTATTTTATAATTATACTGGGTTGTGTAGACTAGACTAGCAAAAGCTGTATTTTTTCTTTTTTTTTTTTTTGGGGATATCCAAAAAAAAATCCAGGGAAGAGGCTGGGTCACACTTGGAACCTTTCCAGGCCACTCCTCTTGAAAGATGTCCCTCCTCTCTCATTTTTCCAATGCTTTCATTCTAAGTTTCATTTATACTCTAGGTTTCACAATCCTTTCAATTCAGAGAATCTGTTTCAAATAAGAAATCTCTAGAATTGATTTACATGTTTAAAATAAGCACAGGTTAATGCTTTGTTGGCTAAAATTTTTCATAAGCTTGGGTTAAGAACTAAGTGATGATACACAAGATTACATATCTGAGTGTGGAGTGGAAAAGTTCTGCCTTCTATCATGTCTCTGACAGTTTATCCCAAAAGTTAGCTCTTTAGAAATGACCACAGACTCCTTTAGAAAGTTGGCAAGATGAGGGGCAGTTTAAGAGATCATCCTTCAGGTCCTTAAAATTACAACCTCCAAGAATAGAAACCAACAGTGGTGCTCCCTCTGAAAGGAGTTAAGCCTCTGGCTTCAGAGAAAACGTATGCTCTAATCTTGGAAGGATTATAGCTTTTAAAGATTAATAAAGAGGGTACAAAATACTCTACATATAGCCGAGTGATTATAGCAAAGGTTTTTATCCATTTTTATTATGATATAAAGTCCAGGGCAGATTTGAACTTGAATTTTTTTTCTTCCTTGAGATAATTATCCTAAGACTGTCACCTTTTCGTGCACACAAGAGAGGGTAAAGACCTGGTAAGAGTCATATTTAGTACTTGTCAGACTATATGGTTGTTTGGGGAGAAGATGAGGGTACTGTCAGGAAATTTTGGGCAGAGAACTCCAATTTTAAAAATCAATACAATGTAGAGGTTTGCACTGGCATGATGTAATCCAGGCAATTTTATCCACTACAATTTAAACGATGTATAATAAGAAGGTCATGCAACTTTTATTCTATTTTGACAAACATTTCCTATGGGCCACTTTAAGAGCTATTTCGACTTATTAGTTTTTTTAGGTTAAATATAGTTTAAAAATATACTTCAAATTAAAAAAACTTGAGTCTACTCCATATAATCAATTATTCCGTGCTCACACAACTATGCCATTTTAATCTCAATTTGTATTTTTGAACCAAACCACCTTAATAAATGACTTGCATTATACTTCTCACGTCTTGGTATTTTCTCTCTAAATCAGTTCTAGGATATTTAAAACAGTATTCTGATGCTCTGTAGAAGACAGAAAGTTGACACATCTTAATAATCCCTTGACTTAGAGTTAATGAAGAAAAGAGGTGATCTAATGTCCGTAACAGCTTCTGGAACCTTGGAGAGAAGTCGGCCTGGAGCCTGGGCCTCTGCCTCAAGCCACCCCAGGGAAGTCACAGGCAAAAAAAGTCAAAGACACGTCTTCAAAGAGATGTCACCAAGGTCCACGAAAACCAAATCCCACAGGAAGTGAGACCAATTGTTTCAAAAATAAAGGCAAGATCTTCAGAGGAAGAAGGGCCGAGTAACCCAGCAAAGAAACAGAAGAAGTTCACAGAGCAAAAGGAAATGAGGAAAAGTCTGACAAAATAGGAAGCGTAGAAGAATTAAAATGCATTAAACTTGCCTATATACCATATCGATCCCAATAAAGTAATTTATCCCTTTAAACAAAGCAACTAGAAGAAATATATATTAAAATGTAAAATCTAGACATAATTCACTCCCCCAAAGAAAAGAAGTCTATCTACCAAGTTTACCAAAAAAGTCAAGGAATGTGGACATAATTGAGTAATACAAGCACCAGCCAGCAAGTGGCGCCCTAATATTGTTTAAACAAATCTAATGTTTTCTTTGGAATTTTTATTTTCCTTTGCCTTTTTTTTCCCCCCGGGGGCGGGGAGAGGGGGTAATCTTATCTAATACTGCACGTTTAATATTTTCAATATGTTTTTATTGGCAGATTTCATTCCAAATATGAAACTATCAGGAAGTTAAGTTAACTGAGCTTTGTTTAGCAGCACGCAATTCAAATATCTACGTCTTGTTAGAGCCCTATGTGAGATAATAAGATAATGCAATGGTGTCTGGGTTGTAATTTCTTGGCATCGCTTTTCATCTTAAATTCCTGTGCATCTTAAAAAATACAAAGGCATGCTTGGGTATTTGCTCTACGATGTTAATTAATCACAGTGTTAAAAAACACTTGAACTAGGGTTTTTAAATGAACACTTCAAATGAACATAAAATGATTGGGAGCGATGACTACGTTACTAGTTTTCTAAATGGATTAATTACTGTGAACTATATGAGAATTTAAAATAAAATCATTAGGCTAATAATCTATAGGTCATATAAGTGCTTGCTTATTTTGCTGGTTTTGTTAATTTGAAAGTGACCATTACGGTAGCTCTGATTATATTACTTAGGTTTTTTTTTTCTTTCATGTTATATTAAATAATAAACGTTGTGAGCAGCCTGGGTCACAGCTTCAGGAAACTGATCTATGGAAGAATTATTCTGGTTTTCCTTAATTTCATATCAGTAAATTTCAAAAATTCCCTTAATTCGGGGAATAAAAATTTAACTTGAGGCTACAAGACAATATTAAAAGAAGCCACATTGTTGGTACCTGCTTTTTAAATCAAATGTCACCCTGGCTGTTTAAGTATAAATAAGAAGAGAAAAAAGGAGCAAGAGAGCAGAGTGAGCATGTGTGTAAGTGGTTGTGTGTGTGTGTGTGTGTGTGTGTGTGTGTGTGTGTGTATGCACATGTGCATGTTGGCAAGAATGTATATATTATATATATATATGTCTCAGGAGTAGGAAGGGACAAGGAGGTAGGTAATTTAAGATGCAGGAAAAAAATGAGTCCTGCTTAACTGCTTAATTACTTACTGTCTGTCAAATAACATTCAAAGAATGAAAAGGTTATTTGCTCATATTTATAATTTATTCAGCAGAAGAGACAAATTTCTAAGCAAAGACCCTGCAGGGAATGATGAATATGCTTATGCAGAATATCAACATCATCCTTGCAGGTACAGGTCAAATTCCACCAATTTTCCCATTATCTCTACCTCCTCCATCACTCTCCTCCTCCTCATCATCCCTGACCTGGGAGTGGTCTATCGCCTATGATTGTATAAAATTCTTTACTGTGTCTCTCATGGCACTCATCACTTTTTATCTTATAATTATAGATCTGTTCCTCTCCATTATGACTGTAAGAGTTTGTGTCTGTTTCCAATTTGTACCTCTACCCTTGCTCTATAAAGCAGTTTATGAGATGAATAAATGAAACAAGTGTTTCAAAAACTCCTCGTTCAGAGATCGGTCTATTTTGAGAGTATCTTTGCAGAGGTTATCCTACCTTGATAATGTCATCTGAATTTTTTTTTTTCATGAAAAATCTCCTAAAATTTGACTCTGAAATAAGTTTCATGAGAGCAGAGATCTTGTCTTTTTCAGAATTGTATCTATAGTAACGAGCATCATGCCTAGCACACAGTAGACATTCAATAGATATTTAAGGATATGAATGGATAGTTAAGAAACCATTTCTCTAATGGTTGTAAAAATATCTTTTAGTGAAGCAAAGAAAGCTCACTGCTCTAAAAATTGCCTGAAATGCTATTTATTTAATTATTACATGAAATGTACTCTCCATATAGAAATTATTATTAACCTTTATTACCTAAATTTAATTCAATGAGATTTCTTCTCTGTGTACACAGGAGGTTTTGAAACTTAGCTCTCAATTTCTCCTTGAAAATCAAGAGCCTTGCCTGAGTATGATGTTTAGGATATGTAAAATTAAGGGCAGTAATATGGTGGCTTTGAACAAATATCATAAGCTCTAGATCCAGGCTAATGTGAATTAGAAATTTGACTAGCACATTTATTCCCTTCTGGTGCTTCCAAATGGATTAGATTCATTCTCTGCCCTCGAAATGCTCAAATGTACTCTCTATAGTTTTGGGCAATTTACTTAACCCAGTGTTTTTTCACCTACTTGGAAATCACAAGATCGAAAAAACAATAATCAGTGCATAGACTCCATGCAACACCAAATAAATTAGCATCTTCGAGTGTGGGGCATAGGCAGGTATTGTTTTAAAATGCCCAGGTGATTCTCATATGAATCCAGTGTTAAAAACCAGTGAAATACTTCTTACGGCCTCAGGTTCTTTATTTTTGTAATGAGGAAAATAATACCTATAAAGTGCAAGATTATGGTAAAATATTCAAGAAAATGTCTGTAAACTGGCTCAAAATGAATATGTCCATTCATCCATTCTCCAGTGATAGTTTAAAGATCAATTTTAAGTAAGTATAAATTAGCACCCACCAATTCATTGCAAATGAAAAAGGGAAAATGATTCAAGAGAAGATAGGAATGGTTTTAACTTCAAAATGAAGGAGAAAGGGAGAGAAAGGTACAGAATAGCAGTAAGAGGCCACACAAAAAAAGAGCAGAAGTGAAGTTTTCAAGTTAAGAATAACTTGAAGTGAAGCTGCCCCCATACAGTCTCAGGGGTGGACAGACCTACAGACACATTCACATCCTCCTCCATCTATCTTAGGAGATAGAACTTTGGGACTGGAATTCAAACTCCTTCTAGCCAATTTGCCATTTTTTATTTCTTTGGAGAATGAGTTTTAGAGAAAATAGGGGATTTAAAGTGAGATATATTTGAAATGAAATATTGGAAAGCAATATTTACTGCTTAAAAGTTTAAATTTTACTTAAACATTGGAATTTAAATTAAAGGGTAATTTTAATACAAAGCAAGACAGTAAACAAGGCATAAAAATGCCAACTTTATCAAAAACAATAACTAAACAATATAAATAAAAGGCAAGTTATATTACGGTGGGTTGGGCTGGTAATAAGATGCCATTTATTTGCAAAGGTTGAAATAGCTGCAGATATTAGATAAAGGAGAAAATATGAGGAAACAAAACTGATGTAGTAATCGGCTTTGAAATGCCAATGCCAAGTGAAGCTACTTAATAGGATCTCCTACTTAGGAGGAACCAGTAAGAACAACATAAAAAATTGGCCGTGTTCTTTTTGCAACATTAGCTTGTATACTTGTGGACACATATAATGGAGCTTCATTAATTTTAAAAATGTACTGGAAAATGTATTCACGAGAAGGCAAAGTTTGACAGAGAATGAAGACATATAAAAGATTAGATCTGAGAACCTGTATAGATATTTGTAAAGATATCTGCACAGAAAATTATCTGTTGCTCAGAGTATATTACAGACAAACTGCAAATAGGAATAAAATGACAACCATCAAATAACTGATGTGACTGACTGAACCAAATAAATACTGAAAAAAATCCCTTTATTATTATTGTGGCACAGCATAATAGCTACACATGAATTATCTAGAATTTTCACTCATAAAAAAATATCAAATAAGTATTGCAAGGTTATTTTATTTTCAGATTTTCACAATGATTATTCTCTATGGAATTCTTACACTTGTTAATAAAAAGAAGGCAGTCTGGCTTAGTAATTTGCAGAGAGTTCTCAATAAACAGCAGTGGAATGAACAGGTTAGACAGTGAGGGGCTCTGGGCATGGCCCCATCTATCCACCTCTCCCTCGCAAGGTGACTCGACAGGTCACCCTATCTTTCTAGTTTTAGTTGCTTCATCTATAAGGATAGATATTATACTGCTACATAAGATGTCTAGAGCTTCTCAGCTTAAAAAAACAACAAAAAAAAGTCCTTTGGTTTCATATATCACTGCTAAGGAAATAACAAATCACACATAAATCTTTCATTGTAGGCTTTATTTCCTTTAAACAACATTAGAACCACAAATAGCCATGCTTTCTGAAAACAAAAATGCCTCTATCCGCCTTTTTTTTAGTTTTAAGTAAACGAACAAGTTTATCAAGAAAGTTTCCATTTAGCCCTCCTCAACTTGCAGACTTTAAAACAGAATGATATAAGGAGGGACTTTTGTTTTTTGCTGTGGTGGTTGTTGTTTAATCATACTTATTTTCAGTTACAAATTTTAGAAATCTATGAAATAACAAAATTCCTTTTTAACTAACCTGCTAATACATACATATCCTTCTACCAAAGGAAACTGGAAAAGCATTTTTGGTTGAATTTTGGCCAGAAATCACTGCAAATCTTTTAAATATAAACTTTCTATGTATTACATACAACATAGTTATATTTAAAAAGTGAGTATTATTAGAAAACATCTCCCTATTGTGTTTGTATTGTAGTAATACCTCACATCTCACTTCCCTTCCCTATAAATCATACTTTCTGTTTCATTTAACATTACTTTTACCACTTTGTACCTTGAAGTAAAATGTTTAAAATCCGAATTAAGTTAGACTAGAATGGAGATTCAGATACATGTGGTACATAGATCAAAATAATTATTTTATTTTATTTTCACCTCTTAGGCTATTTAAAATATTTAAAGGCATGAAATTAAAAGATATCAACATTAATCTTAGTCAGGTGTCCTTAGTTTTTTATTTGCACATTTGATTCTCAGGTCAAGTTACTATCCTTGAATATTATACAGAAGAACTTACAGTCAAAAAAGTATCAAAAGTCAAAATATGCAAGTAATTTTCAAAACCAAAAAAAAGGAGAAGGCAAGTGATTTCATTTTTAGAAACTTCTCAATGTTAACATATTTTCAGCACACCACTCAATCAGCCACAGCACATCTTAGTTACCTTAAAAATCTCAAACAGTAAGCACAGATAATAAAAGATCAAACTCTAAAAGCGTTTAGTTCAGATGCAGGAGCAAGCGGAGATAATCCAAATGTGCAAACCTGAGATTTTTGTAAACAAGCAACTGAGTAAAAAAACCCGAGCAGAAAAAATAGAGAAGAAATTATTGTAAACTCCTCCCCAAATTCAGAATATTTTAAATAATTAAAAGCAGTTTGATAAACTGCAAGAGAACAAGACACATGTACTTTTCTTGACTTCATTTTCCAGGTTTACTCATTATCTCTTATATCAGTCATGCAAGTGAATGTAAGTAAGTCTATCTTCAGTTGCACAGAAATGACTGTTCAGTTTATTAATTGGCTTATTAATAAGCACATTGAAGAATAGGTACAAAGTCACCTACCATTGTCACTGTCTCCTTCAGATGGAACACTGTAGCTAGAGTTGTCCCATGTTTGTGCCTGTGTAAGTTTGTTGAAGGAGATAGGAGGAAGAGTGAGGGCTGGGTCTGCAGGAGAGCAAGAGAGCCAGTCCGCGTATAGTTGCACAAGGACCAGGAAAAACCAAAGGGGCAGCAGCATTTCACAAATGGCATAAGGATTGTATGGAAATGAAGCGAATTTCATATTATGGTTTTAATTTCAAATGTACAATATAGGAGAAGAATGAAAGATGGCGCATGGAATAAAAAGAATGATAAAAACTGAATGTTAGTACTTATCGATCATATACTTTGCATGCAGTTAATATCGTTAATCTTAACAGTTCCACAAGCCTAAAGACTTCATGTACTACCGAATCATGCCAGCAGAAAGAAAGAGTACCCGTAGATTATGTAGATAAAAAAGTAAAAGACCTACCCTTTTCAAAGACCCTCTAAATAACAAACAATCTTAGCAAATATGATTCACACAAAAAATTTGGTTACATAGTCCAAGCTTAATATGTGTAGCTGATCTATTATTTAAAAATAAAACTATTACAGAATCAGTGTTTGCCATCGTGAATTTTTTCCAAGGCAATATAAAATTTCTCTTTAAAGACATCTATAAGTCAATTGGTATGTTTTATTGATAGTTGAATCTAGACAATTCTTTGCTCAACCCTTGAACACACACTTCTCAATACTGTCTTTAATACTGGTCAGTATAAAAACAATTTTGGACACTAGTAGCATCTTTTTAACAACAAACCTACCTAACCAATAGATGTCAGTCAATTTTAAGCACTTCTGAGTTGGTCATTTATGAAATGATAACATTTTTTGTATTGAATATCCATATAGTATGTTTAGGAAATATCTATGTGAGCTATAAATAGGAAATATTCAATTAAAAGGCAGGACAAGTAACATAAATGGACATTGTTCTAGGAATAAATATTTGGGTATATACAGTTGTCTTTCTTTGAAGGAAAACACAAGAGAGGAAAAAAATGGTTTTTTTCCTGAGGAAAACTATCAGCCTACTTTGAGAATCTAAGTTCTTATTCCAACTTGCTAATTTGAGCAGTCAGTTTTTATTTGTAACACAGAAATCATATAGTCATATACTAAATTTTAAAATAAAATTGGCTTTTAAAAGTTCCAAAGCTACTCAATCAAAAAGAATTTCTATCTTTTTAAATTATATGACGTTCAACTAAAATTGCTTTATATATTATTTTCTAGAAACTATGAAAAATACATACTGTAATATTTTTAAATTACTAAATTAAAAAAATTCCCAGTATATAATGCTAGTTTTATAAAGTTCCAAAATCCATTGATGTTCTGAAGATAAATCAGCATTATTTACAGCAACCAAACTCCACGGAGCTTTCATCAACTAGGTCAACTTCCACCTGGGTTAGTCAGCATTACAGAAGGTTAGAAGCTTGCAGAGGAAATTATCTTTGTTTTTTACTATTCAGAATAAATACCCCATTTATTTTGCACCACTATAAAGAACTGAAATGGTTGAACAGTGAAAGTACAAAGTTGATAAACTATTTTGATTCCATAAAAGGAATTTTAAAATGTCACTGAGACACCACAATTTCACAACTAAATTGTAAAGATGCACATTCAAAAGAATATCTTTTTAAAGATTTGTTCAACTTTTGAATTGACCAATTAGAAAAAATTTTTAAATTGTGTAAAACCGCCTGTAAGGATGAGGAGAAAATCTGTAGCCCAATATGAGGTCTTCAGTGTGTAGCGATAACTCCCCTGGCACGCCAGCACCAAAGGCGCTGATGAGATATGCCCCAGCTGACCTCCATTTCTCTCATCACACACTTGAGACTGTGGGAATGGGAGCCCATCTCAGATTTGGTTGTGTATGCTCAGTTCCAAAAATCAGGAGCCCAGCCATTTGAATATATTTCATAATAAGTCAAACAACTTTCTATAAAATACCTACTAACAACCCTCTTCACGCCCATGCATTTTCTCAAACAGCTTTGTCTTACAGCCCACTCAGAATGCAGGGAAAACCATTACACCTGGCCACATGGTACCTATCAATCAACTTGCTCCAAAAATGAAAAACTTTCCTTTATGAAAGAATCATCTTTGTTTTTTTTCTCTATGGCATCCTTTGTGAAAATATACACATATATAACTTCTACTGTTGCCAAAATGCTTTACTGAAAAACCCAGGAATACCTGAGTTCTTTAACTAGCTTTTGCTTAAAAGTCTCTGAGTAATTTTTTAGAACTTAGTTAAAAGCATTAGTAGTGAGTATACGCAAAAGACCTAAGAATCAAAAATATGAAAACAAAGAAGGACCTAAAAGAAAGTAGATAGTGCCAGAACTTGAAGTACGTGGAGAAATTGGAAGAACCAAATTTTTCCACAGTCCTTCTTTCTAAAATCAGTAGTTACATTGCTATAATTTATACTTGTGAATATACTAATACAAAATTAAAAGAAAATAGGTAATACGAGCATAAAGGCTCTTAAAAAAAAAAAGGCTCCTGACTAGTTGTGTGAGCCTTGGAATGATCACCCGGTTACACTCAGACTCTACCAAGGCTCAGAAAGCAAATGAGGGATGGCTCAGAAAGGCCCCACCCTCCCAGAGGCCTTTCTTTAACTTATCGGGATACCAGGAACCAACTAATGGGGCAAAGGGCTAGCTATTTTTATCTTCCCTGGGTTAAAAAACTCAACAGAATATTTCTTTGGCACTTACATGCCCCATTTCCTTTTACTCTGCTCTAATTCGAAAGGAGGAAAGATATCTATTATTGATAACATAAACTTAACAGCTGATTCACTGAAAACAAGGCTCCAAAATCTGGCCTTCCCAAGCTGTAGCCAGGTACTGATGCCAGGACTCAGACTCTCCAGAACTGACAAAGCTGTATACATTTAAAAGGCTAAAGAGAAACCACTGAGTCGTTCACAAGTTTAAGAACGATGAGGTTTTAAATTACCTGATCGAGGCTTCAGGCCAAATGGAGCTGTACTGTTGGTGGTAGGAGAGATTGCTGGGGTGTTCTCGCTAATCTGTGATGTTTCAAGGAAAGAAAATTTTTTAAAAAACTGAAGCAGAACTATCCATGCTTCTCTATGCTCTAGGATTTTAATAAAACCACTTTTTGCATTTGCTGCTGTGTAATGAAGTCCTGACCCAACAGTATGATAATCAATGCATCTTCACTTTGCAAATGCTTTAAATAGCATAATCAACAGAATTGTTTTGGAGGGATCCATTCAATTTTATTTGCTCATTATAAAAATATTTTACAAGCATGTGAAACTGGCAATCCTTTTCTGCTCCAGAATAGATGTGTGCATGTGTGTGCATAGGTATACACACACAAGCACACATTCGCATCCACTTTACAGAGGGCACATCTGATGAAGAATCTCATAACACAATTAGGTGAAGAAACAGATAACACTGACAGGATATTTCATCTATAGGGAAGCCACACACTGAATCATTTATGGATAACAAGACTTTCTAAATGTTGCCTATTTGAACTATTTCACTTCTTTTCTATAAAGATGTTCCCATCTTTGGTTTTCAAAATATATCTTCTAAAATTGATATTTAATTATGGATAGGGCCAGATAAGGCTCTGATAGCTAATTAGAGAGACTGCTGCAGAGAATTTGCAAATAATGAACTCATTCATCATGACAATCTTAGACTATATATTTCTGTAAAAGATATTCCAATTCAGGTTTCACAGACTACCTCAGCTTTTATTAATCTTCAAGAAACTTACCTCATTTGGAGAATACTTGCTCCCATTACTCTGTAATGTTAGATCATTTTGCACCTTAAAGAAGAAAATAAATGCATGGTATGCTGAATTAGACTATAAAACTACTGAGGCAAGAACTGTGTCTTTTTTACTTCTATCATACCTTGGCACGTAGGTGCTGATGAATATACATTGAATGAATTAATTAGTGTGTTAAGTAGCTAAGTAAGTTATACTTATATTTTCTAAAAGCATGCAGCTGTATTCACAGAGAAATACATCTAAAGTATCACATAAACTAAGCAAAGGGATTTCCCAGAGCAAAGAAGTCAGCCCGAACCTTCTGTGAACATCAGGAACCTGTGGGCTCCCACCCCCATTTTAACTCCAGGTTTTTGGAAATGGTTTGAGGCAGCAGTTCCGAAATATGCAGAATCTCATTGGAAGCTTTTAATAAGAACACATGCCTTGACCCCAAATTAGTGGGAAAATCTTATGCTGTCAATTCAACATCAGTTTGTTTTGGCAGCCAATGCTTATTTTATCCAGATCTGCCTTCTTTATATGGTAATCAAGAACCCCACTGATTCACCTTAATAAAAAATTTGGCGATGGCCAATATATAAACATCTTCATATATACTATGCCAAATTAGCATAAATTTAAGATGTTTTTCTATTCCTACTGTTGAGGAGTGCTATTAAAAATATGCTCAACTGTGACAAATTGAAAGAAAAAACATTTTTAGAATAAAATGTCATTAATTTCCCTACCCAATTAAATAGCTTTGTTAGAACTGTTAACAAGTAACCACAGGTTTGACTCTACATAAGCAACTCCTTCCACTAATTTTTCCCGTTGTTTTCCGCTCCAGCATCCTCCCCTAGACAATATTATTTATGTACATGAAAATATAATTTGCAATTCTTCCTGAATGGATGCCAATGCTACCCAAACTTGATATGAACAATCATCTAAAGTGTATTTATGGTGAGAATGTGATGTACCACTAATTACAAATCACTTCATAACCTTGGCCTCACCTATCTAACTGGGCACCACTCAAGATTTTTTCCTGGTTCACACAGTGCCTTGATTCTACCATGGCCATGCTGCCTTGCTCAGCACAGCTGCCTTGCTCAGCACAGAACTGGACTGATTTAAATCTAACTGCCCCCAAAATCTAGGTTTACTTCCCTCTCCTTAAACTCTCTATCCCTCCTCCCCCGGCCCCCCAGCTCCCAGGGCACCTAAAACACTCAGGATAACAAACCATCTCATATTCTTCTCTAAATTTTTTCGGTATCTAAGTCTTCTTTCTTCCATAATTTTTAAAATGCCTTAAAAGCGAGGGTAAGTTCATATCCTTCATATAGAAGTCCTTGACAACAAAAACACAAGTATTCAACAAATACTGGCTCATTCATTCAAGACTATACTAAAGATATTACTTTCTTCCTGGAAGAGAGAATATAAAAATAGCCAAATCATGAATGAAGATCACATTTAAGTTTTACATAATCTTTATACTGGCCTTGCTAATCTACTCCTTCCTTCTCTTTTCCTCTAGCTTGAGACTTTCTTTTTCCACCACAGTCAGCTATTCTCCTCCCTTTTTAAAATCATGGAGATATGTCTGTCACGAACAGAGAATTGCTTTAGTATAGTCTTGAATGAATTAGCCAGTATTTGTTGAATACCAATGAGGCCCAGATAGAAACAATGTGCTCCCAAGTGTGACACCCTGAGAAGGACACGACATCAGACTGTGTAGTATATCCCAAACTGCAGAACCTCAATCTAATCATGAAGAAATATAAGTAACTTCTGTTCTACAAAATAAGAGGCATCTCATTAAAAAAGAAAAACAAAACAAAACAAAAAAACAAAAAAAGGACTATATTCTTCAAAATTTCAAAGTCATAAAAAGCAAAGAAAGGTTATGAAAATGTTCCAGAATAAAGGAAACTATATTAGAAACCTGACAACTACCTGCTTCTAGACTGGAACCTATACTGGAGGGGGAAAAATGCTATGAAAGATATTAGACCAACCTACATCTTTTGAATATGGATGGTAGATTAGATGAACATATTTTATCAATGTAAATTTATAAAGTTGATAATTAAAATGTGGTTATGTAAGGTAAAAACCTCTATTCTTAGAAAACATACTGAAATGTTTAGGGATAAGAGACCATGACATATGAAACTTACCCTCAAATTTTCAGAAAAAGAACTATGTGTGTGGAAAAAGAGAAAGAGACAGAACAAATGATACTGCAAATGTGATAAAATATTACTCATGGGTAAATCCGAGTTAAAGGTTCTAATTTTTTTTTGTAACCTTTTGTATAATCATTTTTTTTTTCTCCAAACTTTTATAAGGTTAAAATTATTTCCAAATAAGAAGAGTTTTTGTTTGTTTCTTTGTTTCTTTGTTTTTGTTTTTAAAGTGGGCCTGCACTTCATAGGTAACATGTCTCAAAAGGATTTTGGTGAAATGAGCCCAGGGCAATTTCAAATAAGACTTCCTGGTGTCCCACTGTTGAAGACACCTCCACCCAGGGAGAGGGGTGTGCAGTGATTCTGTCTAAACCACACCAACGATAATAACAGAGTGTAGAGTAACAGTAAGGTGCCCTGGATTGTGAGACCAATCCCAATTGACAGAAAATGAGGTGAAGCTTAGAACGGTTGCCCACAGGCACCCATATTTAGTAAGTCTTTGAAATGGAACTGAAACAACACAATTCTAAGTCACTGTGCTCAACAATAAACCATACTCTGAGAACATGGCTTTTTGATCACAGTTCTTTTTCTCCTTATTTAACACAGATACTTAGCTAGTTAAGAGTGTGAAACTTCTTTAGGACAGTACATGTTCAGACACCTCAGGGGACATATATCAGTTTTTCCCAAAATCAGCCAACCTAAACCCATTCACTGAGAAGGGATGAAATAGGTTGTAACCTATGTTTCACTCAAAGTTAGCAGCTCAAACCTTCCACTCCACGACTGTTTCTTTGAGACCTTCTAGGCTCATCTTTAGTTTTATGTCACAACTGCTTTAGACAGCCACCAAATTTCACCCAATGTAACTACACCTTTATTCTGTCCACAAATGCCTCCACCAGTTTTGCTTTGCTATATTCTTTTAATACTCCTACGCACTTCCAGAATCCTTTGTTCTTGTCTTTCAAGTCTTTTCTAATTTATTTGCACCTGGCCAGTTCATAGGCTTCTTTCATGGCTGCACTGAATGGTCCTACTCCGTTTCTAACACAGAGCAGGTTCCCTATGGATCTTAGTTGCCCTCACCTGATTCAGCAAGGCTATCCAACACAAAACATTTAGAGAATTTAATAGAAATAGCCTACTCTCATCTCTAATGGAAGGTGAAGTATAACAGATAAGCAAGAAAACTAAAGAGGGAAAAAGTATAAAAATTTTTGAAAATAGATCTTGAACAAAATTGAATATTGGTCTTACTAAGCAATGTTCTACCCCATGATAAATCTTTACAGAATATAGAAGCCACTGTTCTATGGCAGAATACTGTACGGAGCTCTGCTTAATCCAAGAGCAGCCTTACCTCACACACCGGAGATGTCTCCAGCTGTATTTGACCACTGTAGGAATGAGGGGGAAAAAAGATATAAAGTGGAATTTAAAGTATATATAGTTCCGTGTAAAAAAAGAAAACATATTTAGTTTTTAAAAGGTCAACATACTTTAGTGCAGAATCTTGTAATTCTAAGGCTTCTGCTGATTCCGTAGGATAAAAGTTTACAACACTTCTCTCTGTAATATCTGTGCTTAATCTAAAGAGTAGGGAAAAAACGTTAGTAAATTTATTAAAATTTTAATAAATTCTACTTTTGGTCACTTAATTTAAAATTTTAATATGCAAAAAGTTATGTTCACCATTAGGCTTAAATAATGAAAAGTTTATGGTAGAAACTTCAAACTACGTAGTATTTTCCCATCATTTGCCAAATTTAATGTAATCTTAATATAACTTTCTATCTTCTTTTGGTATCAAAATCCAACTTATTTGAAATGTAACAGTAATTTCTGTAAAGTCATAATATTCATAGGTAGTACACAATAAATTTTATTCTAGAACTTGGTTAATTTACAGAAGCAAGTAAAGTTGCTAAGGGTACTATATTATGGTATATGTACTAAGAGTACTTTGTTTTAATCTCTCTGATATACATTAATATGCTCACTCAAAAAAATAAGAATTCATAAGCATTTTTATTTTTGAATGGTCTTACTTTCTAAATTTCTGCAACTTTAAAAGTGGAAGGTTTTTTTTTAGGATCTATAAAACCAGGAATTTCTATAAGTTAAATAAAAGTTACAAAGCTATCTTAAAAGGCAGGAATGAGTTCATATCATACATGTCTATTTAAAATGCTATCAAACAATCAGAAATCCTTATGAGAAGAAACCAAGATAAAGGCAAAATAGGGAGCAATTCCATTTTTTGATGTTAAGTTTGTATGAAAGGTAAATCTCTACAATTTAAGCCAATAATCATCAACTTAACTAAAACAACCACATAAATGTTGGGATCTATGAAATATGAGATAAAGGAAAAACCCAATGGGTATGCAAAGTTTTTATTACTAATATTAAGTCCCAAGCAGCTAGAAATAAATGACCTCTTGAAGTGTCCTCTTTTTATCAGAAACAAATACAGGACTCAGTCTTTATTACTATTACACTGGCTCACAGAAGCATTATTATAAAGTTACAACTGTCTTATAATAATTATTTCAGGATGAACAACAAAAGATCTAAAGCAGCCAAAGTAATTATTTTAGGGAGGAAATGAAATCCACGTAATGTTTTATAACATAATCTAATTTTAAAATATCACTCCGTAAAGATACAAATCAACTATCACTTAGAAGGTTACTCGGGACTGTTTTCTTCCACAATTCAGCATGTACCCACCATTCCCACTCACTCACATACTTGGCAACTCATTGCCTTAGACATTTCTAAGCTGGAGAGGAGGAAACTCGAGATCTTCAGTTACTCTCACTTTTCAAGAAGGATGACAAAACTGAGGCCCAGAGTGGAAAGCTACTCCCTCCAGGTCACTCAGACCTTACTCCCTGGTTCCTGTCCCTATTCTCACACCACTGCTATTTCCACCTAAGGAGGCTGCTCTCTTTTGCTCTGATGCTCAAGCCTGGCTGTGGCGTCTTCCTTGTCACATCACATCTTCAAGGCTCTGTCCTGGACTTATACTCCCTTCCTATCGATATGCTTGCCCTCGAAACCTCACCCTCTTATACAGCTTCTGTCACTTTGGCACCTTGTGAAAATGACTTTCAAATAAATCTAAGTCTCTAAGTCCCAGAACTAAACATCTAACAGCTGAATGGATAAAGCCACATTGCCACCTTGAATACTATTCAGCACATCTTAAACTGACCCCATCATCCTCTCCTTCAAATCTGCTGTCCCTCCTGGTTCCCCATCTCAGACAGAGATACTGGGGGCTCAGGTCTAAAACTGTTCCCTTCCAGCCTTTTCATCATCCACTTCAAATGATCATCAAAGAACTACAGTAGTACCTACCACTGAGTATCTACAATATATATAAAAGTACTAAAAAATATGTAAAAATACCTACAGAAAAATTTCCATCATAATATATTTCCTTCCAGTTTAAGTTTTTTCTAAGCTTCTTACGAAATTGAGACCTAATTCTATCTATATAATTGGGATCAAACTTTATATATTCTATTTACTTTTTTAAGTTTAACAGTAAATAATGAGCATTGTAAAATATACTGGAAACTTTACAAAACACTTTATTGGCTACATTATATTTACTTTATTAATAATAAGCAAAATATATTTCTTTTTTTTCAAATATTTGCTATTAAAAACACCTTCCCCCTCACAATCTTTGTTCATACCTTTTTGTCCCTTAGGATAAACTTTTGGAATTCATTTAAGTAAATGGTTTATATATATTTTTTTAGATCACAACTACCTACTACTAGAATGCCTTTAGAAAGGTTTTGACAATTTACTTTCCTATTAGTAGTTTATATATTGTTCTTAATCCTTCCAGAAGTTTGACTCTTACTTATGGACCTTGGGAAAACAGGCAGTTAAAATGACTTTTCTTTGTTAGTAGTTAGACAGAGCCCATACAAATATTTTTTAAAAGTGAGATAATGTACTCAGTGAATTAGTATGCATTATTTACCCATGAGGTCCAGGCCAAGGAAAGATATGCATACCTGTTGGGGTCTTGTAGCAGATCTACTGCTTCTCTCATATGTTCAATCATCACTATATCCATGTCCTGGTCTTTGGATGAACTTATTCTGCAGCATGAAACCAAGTATGAGCATAAAAATGGTTACAGAACATGAATATCATATAAATTCTTAAGAGCAAAATTACAAAAATCCATCTAACATATAAATATGATTTTGACAAATTCAGCATTATAATGAAGACCTGTCAATACCAGATGTGGATTGCCAGAATGTTGTAGAAAAAGCTCCCAAATTAGGGAAGCCCAGCTCTGCTGTAAAGCAACTCACACAAAGTCTCAATGCCTGTCCACCTCTATCTGTTCATCTGTACAAGCCAGGCGATGGACCAGCTGGTGGTTCTCATACTGTGCTTCCCTGAGCCTTACGGGAGCTCAGCTACAGTGCATCTACACTACTTTCAGACCTCCCAACTCCAGTTCAACCAGCGTAGCTCAGTTTTACTACTTTCATAAAATATGGACTTCGGGGTGGGACAGAAGTTTACAGTCTAAGCTCTACATGCAGCAAAATCATCTGCAGCACTTAAAAAAAAAAAAAAAAAAATGCCAGGCCTGATAGTCCCAAGTAGGTCTGACTAGGGCTGGGGCATTTTACTATGCTCTACAGATGATCCTGATTTATAGGCAACATTGAGAACAATAGGTAAAGATTAAAAATGGGGTTTTCAAAGCTTTACATAGTTTAGAAAAGTCCTTCCCTATAATGCTATGATTCTATAATCAAGCTAGGTCTCCCCGGCATCACAGAAATATATCCAATGAATGCTGGTAATACTGGACAATGATTTGAAAGGAACTTTTTAATGCTTTTAAAGGGTGAGAGAGATTTGATCATGGTTACTTCTTTCCCCAACAGAACATAAGCCATTGTCTTTCTGTAAGTGGAGAAATTTTTTAATAATGTGGCAAATCCTCCCTCAGGGGAAAATCTCCACAAGGCAGGATGGAAGGTCTAGGCCTACAGGCCATGTCATGGAAAACAAAATCCTGGGAACCAAAATTCTACTCTGTGCCACATGGTCTAAACTTAGTTCTCCTGGGAATGGTTCATCAGCTGATAGATCACTCATGCCCTCCCGGGGAAAGCCTGCCAAGAAAATCTTTATAGGCAAGAGAACAGAAGGATATTCATCTGGTGTGAGATTCCTTGGGTTCAATCCTGGTCCTCTGAGACCTTGGGGGCAATATAATCAATCTCTCTGTGCCTCAGTTCTGTCATCAATGAAATGGGGGATAACAAATAGAACTTAACTCATAGGGTTGTTGTAAAGGTAAAATTATAACTACCCGCGAAGTGTTTAGGACAGTATCTGACATATGGTATTTAGTAAATGTTAGCTGTTATAATTATTCAAGGCAAATGGTTTTTATTAGAGGCAAATGATTTTTTCAGATCTTAAACCAAAAGGCACTGGGTAAAAAAGGGGGACTAGGGCTACTTTAGGTCCAGTTGTCAGCTTCTTTACACCAATAGAAGGAAGCTAGAATGTTCACTTTAGAAATTCGAATTCCATGAATGACATTTCTACATACAGCCTTAAATTTGATAAAACACAGGGCCAAAGAAGAGGTATAACCTTGCATTGTATTGCTCTAATACTATGGTAATAAGCATGAGACAGGCAAACTGGCAACTTCCTATCATTATTATTGGGTAAGAATGTCAGCTTGTCCAAAGAAAAGTAGGCAAGAATTCTGTCATGACAGGGCTGCCTGTCTGCTTGAAACATGAACTTTTAAGGATAGTGGCTCATTACCAGGCCCTCCGTACTCACATTCCCTCAGACTGCCAGTGTGTGTCCTCTTCTATCCGTAACAGTTCTTCACAGTCCTCTGCCCCATCCTGTGGACAGAACACACAGGTCCTGAGAGCCGCTGGCTATCAACAGTCAACAGTCAAACCCTGCCCCAGCCCATGTTCATGGCAGCGCTATTCACAATAGCCAAAAGGTGGAAACAACTCAAGTGTCCATCAATGGATGAACAAAACGTAGTCTATATAAAGAATGGAACAGTATTTAGCCTTAAAAAGGAAAGAAATCCTGACACATGCTACAATGTGGATGAACCTTTAGGACATTGTGCTAAGTGAAATAAGTCAGTCACAAAGACAAATAATGTATGATCCACTTTTATGAGATTCCTAGAGTAGTCAATTTCACAGAAATAAAAAGTAGAATGGTGGTTGCCAGCGAATGGGGAAGGGGGAGGAATGGGGAGTTAATGTTTAGTGGGTACTGTTTCAGTTTCACAAGATGAAAAGAGTTCTGGAGACGGAGGGTGTGACGATTGTACAATAACGTGAAAGTACTTAACACCACTGAATTTTACACTCAAAAATGGCTAGGATGGTAAATTTTATGTTACAAGTGTTTTATCATAATTCAAAATAAAATTAAAACAATCTGGTCTAGGACCACAATACCTGTTAACCTACTGTCAGAAATTTAAAACATAATTAGTTATTGCCCTCTTAGGACCTCCTGATGTTCAGATTCCTTTGACGGGCTTGTCAGTCACATGAGAATATGCATTCTAGTGTTTGTGAGAGAAGGGCTGTGTGCGGGGGTAGGGTGTCATTAGGAGAAAAAGAACGTATAGAATACTTAACAAGGAAAATGCCTCAAGTGATATCTTAACAGTTTTCATGCTTACAATATCTAGCTTTCACTGAAATGCAACCGCCTCTTTATTTTCCCAAAGAAACATTCATGGGAGCATTGGAAGGGTGTGTCCCCATTAGAACTTCCACATTCTTCTTTCCACTACCATCTCTGACACAGAGAAATGCTGTTTTAACTTGGCCAACAGCTAGAACGGAAATCACCCCAAATGGGGGTACATCTCCTTGGCAAGGAAGGAACCATAGCCAAAAGGACTGTTTTCTTCTTCAAGATTCTGACACGTCATTAACTAACTCAAGCCAAGCCAATTCTCCAGATGTGTCACTGAGCACAAGTCTCCTTCTGAGGAGGTGGCTTGCTGCCTGATGCCAGTCTCTGGCTTGAAAAACACTGAGACGTTTTCTATATTGATCATATTTTTAGTGCACCATAAAGTCAACACAAAAATTACTGTGCCACACCATCCAAATGATAGAGAAATTCATGAGAGAAAATATACTACCAGAAATGACCCGGAAAACATGTTCCTATCTTTTATTGTTGGATTTCAACTACAGAAGCAATGAGTATTTCCCTCTAATTTTCGATTTCATAATACAAAGTAGCCAATGGCATGAAACATCAGTTTTTCTTTCAGTATGCAAAATAGGGCTTACTGGGTTTCTTTTGCTAAGTTAGACAGTTATAGAGCTGATCCTCATTATGTGTGAATTCTGTATTTATGAATTTGCCTACTCACTAAAATTTATTTGTGACCCCAAAATCAACACTCGTGGTGCTTTCAGAGTCATTCACAGACATGCGTAGAATGCTGAAAAACGTGAGTCCCCGACATGTATGTGCCGGCAAGGCGATGCTCTGCTTTCTTATTTCAACTCTCATAATGTAAACAAGTGTCCTCTTCAGAGTCTATTTAGTGCCAATTTTCACATTTTTGTGCTTTTCTGGGTGATTTCGCTGTTTAAAATGCCCCCAAGCATAGTGTTAATGTGCGGTCGAGTGCTTCTAAGTGCAAGAAGGCTGTGATGTGTCTTACAGAGAAAACATGCGTGTTAGACAAGCTTCTTTCAGGTACGAGTTACAGTGGTGCTGGCTGTAAGTTCAATGTTAATGAGTCAACAATACATATTAAATAAGGTGTCTTCAAATAGAAACACATATAAAGTAAAATACATAAAACACAATAAAGCAAGGTTACATATTAACCATTTGATGATATGTTGTGAACCAGAGTTTCGTGGGAACCTATCACTGTATTTTCCCTAGGAGAAATGGCTCAGTATTTGATAATTCAGTTTGAGGTGACTTTACAGAACAGAACTGCCGTGAATAATGAGGATCAACTCTAGTTACAAAAGCACGAGATGCTAATTCAGTGGAGCGAGAACAAGATTAGATACAACACAGAACTCTTGGTCCTCAAGGAGTGGTCAGCACACTTGCTGGCTGTCAAGCACACTCTCTCTGGCTTTTAAAGTCATGCACCTCAAGGCTAAAATGGGCCTGATTTTCAATGTACGACTTTTAATTACAGATTTAGGTTTTATTTTATTATTAGTGTTCTTCTCTCAACTTTCCAAGAGATTCTTGAAGGAGCGGGCACCTAGGAAACATTTGCCAAGTGGATTTCTACACCCCTATTTGCTCCTCTAGACTCTGCCTATAGGATCCATTCTGTACAACAGCCCTTTGCTTCCTGAAATCTCTGAATCTAGAGAAACTGCTTTTCGTAAATAGCATGCTTTATTTTACTAACTGCTTTGATTGTTTTTCTTCAGGGTTTCATCTTTACTTTATTTAGATTCTCAACTTAAGATGAACTCTTCATAAAATAAAGACAAAAGCCCAATTTTCCATGTTTTGTGACAGGCTTATCCTAGAACTGTTAGACAGAGGTCAAATCTGGGAGAGCCTTGTGAGAACCACTGGCCTCAGAGCAATGTCATTAGACTGATACGTTAGGAGACTGGCTGGTGGTAGAACATAAAGTATGTATATGTGTGAGCACACGCGTGTGTATGTGCACGCACACACACATGTGCATATGGGAAAAGGATATTGGATAAGAAGTTGGTGTGAGGGACTCCTGCAGTCATGGAAATTAGAAATGATGAAGCTCAACTAGAGCAATGTCGCTGGAGGTAGAGGGTAGCAACGAGGCAGCGGGCATGAGACAGTCTGAAACAACAATCGATGGAATGATTAATGATGGATTAGATATAGAGTAAAGAATTAAAGATTTCTGTGTTTCCTCCTCCTACCGGCATATCTTGTTTTATTCCACTTCACTTTATTGAGATATTGCAGTTTTTACAAACTGAAGGTAAGACCCTCCACCCGCAAAAAAAACTGTGGCTCATTTAAGGTTTAGATGATAGTTAGCAATTTTTTAGGAATAAAGTATTTTTAAATGAAGATATGTATATTTTTTTAGATATAACGCTACTGCACACTTAATATAATGTAAACATACTTTACAATATAATGTAAACATAGTTTTATACACATCAGAAAACCAAAAAATTCATGTGATTTGCTTTATCTCAATATCTGCTTTATTGCAGTGTGGTCTGGAAGCAAACCCACAATATTTCTGAGGTATGCCTGTATATAACTTTGGAAATAATCTTAGTTTCTACAAATGTTGAGTCCTATATTAGGTTCTTTATTTTTGTCTTGAGGGCATAAAGACCTCTTGAGCACGTAAAAGTATTGTACAGTGTAAAATTCAGCTATTTTCTTCCCAGCTCCCTTGGAGGCGGTGCCCAGAGATGTTAGTTTAGACAGAGTCCAGAAATTATAATATAAAATCAGGAAATAAGGATGAACTCTTAGAGACCCCACACTTGGCTTTAACACATGAACTCAGAGACCATCAACTCTCGAAAGCCACGATGAATCTGAATTTTACCAAAAGGATTATCTTCATGATTCTTGGGTGCCACGGCACGTACCATAAAGACTGGCAGAAACATACCACGGCACCTAATGCCTCAAAGTGGAACCTTAACTATCAACTTTAGTAAAAGGATAGATTTTCCCTCTTCTTTTTGCCACTGCTATGATGAAGCCTCACCTGACAGCTTAGTGGCTTCACCCAACCTTTCAGCACCTCAGTGCAACTACGACAGTCTAGAATAAGTGTCCTTAGAGTGATCTTTCCAAAAAGGAAAGACATTCATTTCCAGGTCTTAAAAGTCTCTGTTTTTCTCTTTATACTATGGATATACTCCCAAGAGAGGCATTCATCTAGAATACATTGAAGAGAATGTGAAACCTGTCTAGTTTAGCTTTTATTGAATGGTAATGGTAAATGTGATGTCTGCTAATCGATATAATGCACTAAGCAGTGGAATGTTGTGTATTTTCTGAATACAAAAGAAAATAATACACATATGTCAACAAATGGAGAGGTATTGTATTGGAGGAACTGCTCCTAATGTCAGATAATAAATATGCTGAGCTTTGAGATGACGATATAAAGGCTGAGGAAGGTAACAGGAAGCTGACATTTAAAGTGATGGATTAGTACTCTTGAACCAAATGCAAGTAAATAAATAAATAAATTGGTTGATACTCAACTTACCTTATTATAGTTTATAAATTCCGAGTGAAGAACATCTGTTCCATGGGTAAATTGGTCTCTTTCTTCTCCTAAGCTGTCATTGTCACCCACAAGGGAAGACTCTGGTTGAAATTCCTGATGAAATTCCCCTATTAGGAAAATATGAAGACAAGTAGAAAGCATGATTTCATGAACCAATGAACAAAGTACAGATTACCCTCGAATGTATCGTCTAATTATTTCAATCTTCTCTCTTACCTCTTAAGGAAGTATATGAATGACCCAAGTATTTTCTCCCTCAAAGGATATGAGGAAAAGACAAAAAAAGAAGAGGAAGAAGAAAAGTAAAATAAACAGAAAGCCCCAGACTGAACTTTAAAGTTGAGGCCTCTATATGGCCTAGTTCCTTATGAAAGAAATGAAACTTCCTCTTACTTTTTTAAGGAACAGAGAAAAGAAAGTATAAAAGAGAGCTTTTGTGCTCTCAGTAATGTGTGATTAGTAACTATTTCAAATCCAAAATTCAACAAATATTTATTGAGCAACTACCTCATAGCAGGTATTATGCTAAACATTGTAAGGGATTTAAGAAAATTAAGTCAAAATCTGACTCATGGTCTTTACGCAGCAAACAATCTCAAGGAAGAGTATGGGAAGGAACTAAAGAATCAAAAATCATAACAAAAGATGTGACTATGATAAGGGCCACATAGGGAGGAACATATTCTCAGAGCACATCCAACTAGAATATGTTCCAGAGGGTATAGGAGAGGCAAAAACATGAAGCAGATCTCTTTTCTCAGATCTGAAGACTAAAAAGGACCAAGGGCTCCTGGCCTGCAGAATACTTGCTTTTGTAACAGAGGGGAAAAGACTCACTGCTAACAAATTACTGTATTTTAAAAATTTTCTTAAAACACTACCTCTTATACTGCGTAATGTAATAAGGCTTATCTAAATTAATAAAGTGGCAGTTATATTTTTGCATAAAGTATACAGTTATGTTTTTGGACAACATATGGTTCCAATCATGATCTCAGATTAACGTAAATGCTAAACTTAAGTGCTCAACTTAAAAACCTAAATGTAAAAAGCGAAAGCAAACACTAAACTTTGAGTTGGTTTAAATGGCTCTCCCATCACTAATGAGAGCGTATTCAAACTATTAGGGAAATAATCTGCATATTAATCTGTTCATATATCAAATTAGTAAACACTAAATTTCTGTAATTTCTTTAAGAGTCACTGAATAAACAGGAACAGTCAAAAATATTGCCATAATGTCATTAAGTGAGGGCTTCTCACCAAGATATAAAATACATTACTAGAATTTTGAAGGTATTCAAGACATAGAGTGCTTAGTAATCATTTGGTGATTATTAAATAACCACAGAACTTTAGAGCTGTAGAAGACATTAGAGATCATCTAATCTAATCATTTCATTTACAGGTGATTGAATTAAAGTCAATTGACTTACTCAAAGTCAAGGTGGGGGACATTTCTCTACCTTTCCCACCCTCACATGTTGTTAGCTCTGGCCATGTAACCAACTCTAGCTTATAAGCAATGGATGTGCCTTTTAGGCTCAGTCCATAAAAACTTCCTGTGAACAAACTCCTCCCCCATTGCCTTGAAACAGAAGTCTTGTATTAAAGATGGTGGAGTCACAGCATGAAAGGAGTTTGGGTTCTTGAATCACTAGCTGGTGGGGAGTTGTCTGTCAATCATTAACATCTATTTAGACTGAATTTGGATTGTGTTAAACTAATGAGATTTGGGGATTTTATGTATTACAAAGCTAGAGTTATACTAAATAATATATCAATATTTTCTTTCCAGTAACAGATTTAAAGAATCTTGCATAACTCTTCAGAATGAGAACAGTTCCACTATTTACTAGCTGCATGACCAATGGCACGTTACTTCAACTCTCTGAGCTTTGGTTTCCTCTATAAAATGGACATGATTAGAGTATCCACCTCAGAATTTTAAACTTTGAATGAGACCAACTTCACAGATTAGCATAGTACCTGGTGCATAGGAAAAGCTCAATAAACATTAACTATTATCACTGCCGTATTCGTGCAGGTATAACATAGCATTTGAAACAAAAACAAGCACTTTCTCCCCATCTTTCATTCTCAGACCTTTTACTGGACTAAGATGATGGCACGAGTCCTCCTTGATGATCTGTTCTTCTTCCATGATATTTGACATTGGCACATTGAGGCTAACTGTGTCTTCATCAGAAGGCTGAAAAGAAACAGGGCACTGCTTCATTCAAAGGCACTACATTCACATCAGTGCAGACTAAGAGAATGCTATGTGATTAAAAATGAACCAGACCGTGATTCTCAAAAACATAATATTCAGTAAAAGACGCCAGACACAGAGGTCAATTTCACTTATATAAGCTCAAAAACCGGCAAAACTATTCGATGGTGTTTGAAGTCAGGATAGTGGCTACTCTTGGGTTAGGGGGTGGGTGCATGAATGGGACTCTCTGGAGTGCTGGTAAAGCTGTTTCTTGACCTGGCAGCTAGTAATATGGGTATGCTCGTTTTGTCAAAATTCATCGAGCTAACACCTCTCTGTACACATGTTTGGAGCTGAAATTTTGTCAGGTGCCTGATGATATTTTCCAACCTGAGAGCCATAGTTACTGCACTAAGAAGTACTGTGTAATACCTAACAGAACAAAGGATACTTGCAAATACACTAACACACCAGCCCTAAATCTAATCAATTGTTTCAATAGTAATGTTATTATGAGATCTGAGAATAACACTAATTTACCAACACTCCATTAAGGTTTCATGTGGCTCATCACAAAAAGCAGGCAGTCAACTTCTGTGACAATATCACATTTATGTGTATTTTATATTAAACACTATGCTTTGGCTTATTTCCCTGTTTTAGGAGGAGGATGTTGCATTAAATGTATAAAAGTGCTACATGATTATAGGACTTAAAAGGAACATGTGTTTGTGCAGTTTTCGAAATAATACTTCCACTTGGTACTCAGAGTTAATTCTCTCTAGGGGTCTTGTTTCCCACATCAGTTGATGAAGTTTATTAAGAAAAATCTATCATTCTTTCACAAATGAAACATGAATCCTCATTTATCTTCCTATGTATCCACTTCAGTGTTGCTATTTAGTGAAAAGCTTTCCAAATCACAGGAATCAGGAACCTCCTCAGCAGCACACGCTTAAGGTGGTTGAGGCTTGATCCTAAATTCCTGAGGCTATTAGTGTTTATTTACTTTTGGACAGTGCTCAAATTGTTTAGAAACTGGCAGAAAACATGTATTTCATTCATTAAAGAGATGTTTGTTAAGCCCCCAATTTTGTGGCTTATCTCGAGAAAGATGTGTTTTTTCACTTCTTAGTGACAAATGCTAAATCAATTAGATAATGGCAACAGCCAAAGAAAGAGAATAAGGTGTGACCTTTGAACTCCATAATGAGATATAAGTGGGGAGCATGATCAACTGACCATAGATGGTGAAATACTGGCAAACAAAGTGAAAACAGAAAGCTACACGGCATAATTCAGAATCTTTATCATTCTAAAAAACAAATTTCTTGGAGATGTTCTCAGGTAATCAGGCTACAATGCAAGATAAGAAGCAGCCAAAGGGAAGATTTGTGCAATTTTGTTGAATGTAACCTTCTCTAAGTTCTCCCTTCCAATCTTCACCCATTTTAAAAACTCAACGAAATTCCAAAGATATATAGCTAGTTAAGAGGGAGAAGGACTACACTTCTGGCCTCTTTTAGAATGATATTAGCATCCTACTTATACGAAGCGAGAACAAAAGGATAATGAAGTTCTTTGTAATAATGCTTCATTAATGAACTTAATTATCCTTAGAAGACAGATAAAGAATAAAGCATAGTCTGTTAATTTCATAGAAAATAAGCTTAGGGTGAGTAATTTCTGAAACAATGGGGCATTTCAAGGGACTTACAAATTTTAATAAAGCTAACAGGAATGAATTAAATATAGCTTATAAAGAAATGTGTTGAGTATTTTCTCCCCTAGGGAACTACAGTAAACTATTCATGTGGCTCCATGAAAGTCATATTCTTTTATTGATATTGGCTTTTTTTTTCTTTTTTTTTTCTGCCTACTAACTCTTCTTCCTTTTGCAATCTTCTGTATTAGTGTTAGGTAGCTTAACAGTGAATTCTGGGTAAGCACATGCATACTAGGCAAAGAGTTATATAGCAGCCAGGTGTCAATCAAAATGCCTCACTTGGCAATCACTGAGGAATGCCTTTGGAACCACCCCATCATGGCCCAAATGTAAGGCAGACATTCCCACTTCTGAGCTCTCTTTTTCTGGTGGCCTTTTTGTCCTTTTGTGGCTATTTTGGCCCCTTTGTGTTGGTTATTGTGCTGGGACCATGTGCCTCCTTGGGGCATTCTTTGTCTTTCTAAAATATATTTTTAATAAAACTATTAAATCTCAATGACTTGCGATTCTTCATTGCGTCATTTGAGGAAGAACTGAGGGAAAATGCTAACTGCAGGCCTGTGCCGTAGTTTTCTCTCCCTCCCCACTACCGTTGGGGTAACACCAAACTCTGATCGGCCCCACCCAGTGGTGCGACAAACTGATGATACATCATCCCCTACTCACTCCACCTCTCCCTTATAGCTCCCTCAGTCAAGGAGCCCCATTTAATGGTATAATAGTGAAAGATTTGAGACTGAATGAGATAACAAATGTCTTAAGTGAGCTATTTTATAACCACTTTCAGAAGCTCTAGTGTGGGAGGCCTTTTAGCTTAAAAATAATTAAACTTTATCCAATGATCTGAAATGAGTTTCAGGAAACAAATATTGCTATAAAAATTATGGCTCTTCATAAATGCATTTCCTTGGGGTAAACTGCAAAATTGCAATGTACATTTGATTCCTGAACATTTACACACGCATATAACAACTTTTTCCTAAACTACTCTGTCACTTAAAAACAAATATATTTATTAAAAAATGTCTCTCAGATACTTGTACATCATTTCGTTTTATTTATTAAGCTTTCAAGGAAATTCCAGATAATGTGGAGGGTATGAAAGAAGGGGAAGGAGATAGGAACCCTACTTTCGAGATATTTACAAATTATTAAAGATGCAGAAAAAGCTAATGACAGCTAATATTTATATAATGCTTGGAGCATTTCAAATTGCTTTCACAAACATTATCTGATATTACCATACCCTCTGGTAATATCAGATAATGTTTGTGAAAGCAATTTGGAGAAAGGAGTTAAATGAATGGAGCAGATATATCTAGAAACATGGAAGGAAAAAAAAATCACAAATCGATCATGAACTTTACCTCTGTGGCAGATAATCGCTTATCTCCATTATCACTTCCAACGCCTGAATCAGAATCCTTCTTGCTGGGATAGATGCCATCGATATTGAATTCATTTAGAAAAAATTAAAATCATGAAGTTTACAAGATACATCAATTTATTTTTAAACAATGACTTTGCTATACAAATTTTTATTATTAATGTACGGCAACAAATCAGGCCAGTATTAAAGGATGTTAAGACAAGGGCCTAATGAAAACCAGATACTTGTACTGTCTAACTAGAGTGCAAAATAAATGCTTTGTGTTCAGAGTTTCATGGATTTACACTCTAACCGAGTAGCTTGTTTTTTGAAACAGTTAAAAATTTCCTTATTTTACTGATTCTAGCATATAAAAAAGCAAAAACTACCTAATTGCTTTGACTTCTTATGTTTTAAAATGTTGGTAACTTTCAAGGCCAGGAGGACAGCTGCAGAACAAAGAAAGATTTCTGCTGGCATTGCTAACAACCCATTCCCCACACCTGTGGAAGGGGAAACAGGAAAAAACAGTCTTTAAGTGGCTGCCCTACACAAATAAAATTGTTCATTTTAAACCATAGGGAACCTATGGATTAAAGGCTGGGAACTGTTAGCAGGCCTTTCAGGCTTCATACTCTTCCCCTTCCTCACTGTTATGTCCATATCAAAAAAAAAAAAATGGGTAAAAAATGTCTTTAAATTATAATTCACAGGAACTAAAGAATGATATATAAACTGGATCCCTTCACACCCGGGGCTTTATCTCCTTGTCTTGGATTTTTGTCTTTGCTTTCTCTATCTAGTCTTTGCTTTTCCCCCTCTTTAATAAACATTCCTTTTGACCTTAACTTTGGCATGTGTGTCGAATTCTTTCTATACTCTCTGCCAAAGAACCCTCTTCTCTCAGTGCAGGGCTTGGTGTCCCCCAACTCCAGGAAATTTGCCCTGTCCTGCATCAATACCATTAAGGTAGATTGAGATTTTAAGTCACTAGTTTACTTTTTTAGTATAAAGTTAAGGAAAGATTCCTGCAATGAAGACTTCTCAAAAACAATCTGTGTTTCTCTAAGTGTGTTCAATGTGGAAATTTTGTTCTCTGAAATTCAAGGCCCAATTTATGCCACAAAAAGGCCAAGCATGTGCAAAAAGATTCTAACACTTCCATCTAAACAGGAAATGGCAAAACTATGTATACTGGATTTTTTAAAGAGAATTTAAAAAATAAAGCCTGCAGTTTTTCTGAACAATGTTCTGGAAGCATATTAAAAGTTAATAAGTAAAAAAAGGCATGTCTGAGCTTGATATCATTGTTTTAATTGATAAGCAAAAAATGCCTATATTTATATTACAGATCTTATTTATAAGGATATACACACACCCATTAGTATGCACACACACACACAATTCTTAACAAGGACTGATTATTGATTAGGAGAGAGTGGATAAGATTTGAGTGGTCAAAATACTATCGACAGCATCAATTTTCTCTTTTTTATTCCAAAAGTTTCTGAAACTCTGAATTATAAATCTGGTTGAGTGGAGCAAAAGGATTTTTGGAGTTAGTTACCTGAAACAGCTTGGCCTAAGCAAATTCTAAACAGGGGCTTTCAGACAGGACAGTCACACTCACCTGTCTTCCACATGCTGGTGTAACTGTGGCCTCTCCATTGTGTGGAGATACAGGGAGTCAGCAGTCTTAATCTGGCATGCTTGTATGCTCAGATACTTGAATATGTGCACTTTGCCCTTTGTGCAAATCTGTAGAGAAATTCGTAATACGTATTTACTTTTTAATGGCAAAACAAAATAGAAACACCAGATATCTGACTATATATTTTAATTTTTGCATTTTCGTTTTAAATAACACTTCAACAATCCACACTCAATTTGACCTCTCTGGAAAATACAAGAATTTAGGCAGTCATTTCCTCCAAATTCCACTCTGAAAAGAAAACCATACTCAAGTAATTTGTAGTTTTTCTTACATTAAAATGCAAAATTCTAACAGAAATGTGTTTAAGAACACATAGTGTAAAAAGTATAGAAGGCCGATAACTGACCTGGTGACATTCCGATTCTGGAAGTAGACATACTTCATTTTTTTCTAAAATAGTTTAATATTTGAGCTTGAATCTTGTCTCTAAATAACCAATAATCATATTTCAAAATGTTTAAGCTCCATTACCAGCTAACATTAAAGTATGGAATATATTACTCTTTTTGTAAGCCATACACTCCATAAAAATGTTTCAAATGGATGTACAAATAGTAAAATAGTCAAACATATAATTCTGGGATTACAGTGATCAGAATAGTGAGCCAAATGCTGGTAAATGGACTTGATACAGCAGAAGACAACTTATTATACTCAGATTCACCCAAGGATTCATCCTTTTAGAGACTGTGACTGCTTATGATCATGTCTAATACAATATTAAATCAGCAGACTATTTAAAAACTGGCTGTGCCGAGAGTTGCCTAAGTACCATTGAGAGCGTATCCCGTATATTTTTGCCAGGCCCCTCACCTGTGCTGGAGGAGACTGCAAAGGGTTATTCTCAAGTAGTAATACTTGCAGCTGCTTCATCTCTCTAAAACAAATGGGAATCACGAGCACTTTATTGCAGGAAAAGTCAAACTTTACCAAGGGAAGATCTACTAGCTCTAAAAGAATAGGAAAAAAAGAAAGAAAAAAAAAACTCAGAAAAGAATAAGATTAAATGATCAAATATTCAAAAATTTACTTTCTGCTCATCAGGAGAAATGTCATTTAGCATAATCAAAAGCAAGTTGTACATCAGGAATATACAGTATATGTATAGGTATAATATTTTAACAAAGGGGAAGGGAAATCTTTCATTAGGAGCCCAATTAATTTAATTGATTAAATTGTTATTAGTTCTGGTAACATCTGGAAATACTTGACATTTATAATACCTATTGTTGAAAAAGTCTTCCCCACCCCAGCAAAACAATCGAAATAAGCCACACCACCCAGAATATGTTTATGTTTTAACTTAAATGTTTTCAAGCAGTACTTGCTAGCATATGAATAATAGGCTAATTACAAACTATTCTTATCTACTTAATGTATCTGGCCTGGCATAACCTCAGAACTAGTACAAGGAATGTGTTCATGGTTTTTAACTCCATTTAAAAAAAAAAGCTATCTAATTAAGAACTTTGCAATGGACCCCGTAATCCTGATTTGACAGAACTTTATTCTACTGCTTTTAAAAATCTTCTGTAGCTCTACAGGAAGACAAAACATTATATTTAGCTTGAGATCCCCACCCAGTGGCATAGTAAACACTCAGTAATTTCAAGCATTCCAATCAACATTGGCAGCTGCATGAAACAAGTCAAATATATTCCATAGAGCAAAGAGGCTGAGCCATGCCAGTCATGTAGGGTGACAAGGGACAAACCACTAAGATCTCTGTGTGAGAGGCTCCGGAGGGTTCATTTTGGAACGGGCCTTGCCACATGTTATGGGACCTGGTAAAGTGCTGAATACTCAGGGAATTCCAAAACAGAGAAAAGGCAGGAACTATAAAAAGAAAAGGAAGGCAGCTAGCTCTCGGAGTAAGAATGAACATGATTCCTCCTCTCTACCCAGACTGCCTGAGGGTTTTCACTTTTCTCAGCTATACTACTTCAAGTTCCAACAAACAGTCACCTAGCAACCAACCTCCCTTCTCCCGAATTCAACGTGCGCTGGGCTGTAAGGGACTTTCCTTCTTTCATACTTTAGTGAACCACTTTGTATTAAAGAAAGGAGTCTAGAACTGAAATTCTAGAGAGAAGGCAGAAGAGCATCAAATTCAGCAGGTCACAAACTCAGTTCCAGGTTAGGCAGCTGGTTTAGAGAAACTGAGGAAGTGTATTTTTACAATTGTCCTGAGTACCCGGCTAGCACCCAGTTCTCTTCTCCCCACCCCCCCATAGCAGGTTAAGTGACTTGCCTCAGGGCACACTAATCCTGGTGTTGCCTTGAGCAAAGGGCTTTGAGCAGCAGGAAGTGGAGGCAGAGAGGGAAGTGAATCTGGAGGACAGCTTGAAATCCAGAAAGTTGAAGGAAAAGGGAAAGACCCCTTTTCACTTGGGTTTGTTTCCAAAACAGGTAAGAATTCAGGGGATTATATCTCTTTGCTGTAACCTCTGGTAATATTAATCCTTCTCGTTCATGGTTAACTTTATTCATGAAAGTTAGTTTAGCAAATCAGTGACAAATTTTAACAGGACTCTCAACCTTCAGGAATTCTTTGCCACTTGAAAGACCTTTTAAAGCAAAAGTAGAGGGCTAAATTCCTGGAAGACAAAGCGGAAGGGGGAGAAGGGGCCACTTACAGGTACATAAAGAATATTTTTTAAATAACTATTCCTTTCAGTGTCAGCTTGGAACACAATGACCATCTTAGTTTAGGAAAACGGGAACCTGACAGTTTCACAACAAGAAAACGGGGGAGAAAATGATAACTCTAGCCCATACAAGGTCAAAATAAACAGAGCAGAAAAAAGAAGAAGAAAAAAAAATCGCACATCTCTGTTGCAAAGAGGGGCATTTAGTCCTCTGGTCCTAGAAAGAACGAAATACAGTATCCTCATTGCAGCAGGTGTAGTAAAACCACTACAAAACTGATATGAGTAATAAGGACACGAACTTTTTTTCTCTCCCTCACATTGAAAGCATATGAGAAGGGGTACCCGAGGAGGAGAAACAAGTAAGTAAATATGTAAAATCTTTAAAGTGACTGCCTAAAAGTATTATCAGTGCTTTTTTGTTAACAGAGTTCTCAGAGCGAAGCAAAAAGAAGCTTGATACTCAGGGAATTATTTTTTAAAAAGATTTTCCAGAAAACTAATGTTTTAGCTTTGAGCGTATTTTAAAATCTTGAACCTAAATAAACATAATGATGGAAAGTATAGAAATTTGTACTGATCTTTTTAGGGAAAGGAATGCTTTTTAGGCAAGAGAGTAAGAAGTGGTGAGAGAAACAAAAATCCCGATGTTGTAGATGCACGTTCCCTCCTACACTTTGCAACAATTGCAGGCGACTGTAAAACAATTAAATTTTCCTCCTGAAAATGAGAATTTGCGATTTAAGATTTCTCAGTGATTAACAATATTAAATTTAAATGAAAGTTTTCTTCTATGAAAGGTTATATGCTTATAAATCTGCTGTTATTTTTTGCATACAGTATTATATTAGTTTCAGGTGTATGACATAGTGGTTAGACATTTACAAAGTGATCACCCGATAAATATAGTGCCCATCTGACACCGTACAGTTATTACAATATTACTGACTATATTCCCTATGCTGTACTCTACATCCCCATGACTATTTTGTAATACCAATTTGTACTTCTTAATCCCTTCCTCTTTTTCATCTATCCCCTCAATCCCCCTCCCATCTGGCAACCATCAAATGTTCTCTGTATCTATGAGTTTGTTTTCGTTTTGTTCATTTGTTTATTTTGTTCTTTAGATTCCACATATAACTGAAATCGTATCACTTCTTCTTTATCCATTCATCCACTGATGGTCACTCAGGCTGCCTCCATATCTTGGCTGTTGTAAATAATGGTAGCTTGCTTGTCTCCATTTTGTTTAGTTCTTTTTCTGGAGCTTTGTTCTGTTCTTTCATTTGGAACATGTTTCTTTGTCTCACTATTTTGGCTGCCTCCCTGTGTTTGTTTCTATGTATTAGGTAGAGCCGTTAACGTCTCCCAGTCTTAGTAGAGTGGCCTCTAGTTGTACGGTGGGGCTCACTGGCACAATCTCCTTCGTCCTATGAGCCGGTTGCTCCTGGTGTGCCCCTCGTGTGGGTTGTGTGTGCCCTCCTGTTGTAGTTAAGCCTTAGCTGCTGTTGCACAACAATGGGAGGGATCGACCCTCAGGCTGATTGGTTGTGAGGACTGGCTGACTACAGTGGAGGAGCTGTTGTGCAGAGGCTGACCCTATTAAGCAGGATTTGCTTTAGCGGGGCTGCGGTGCCTGCCCAGTCTGCCCTTTGGGTGTGTCATCTGTGGAAGTAGTTGAGTGGTGCTCTATGGTATGGTCTTAAGCTGGCCACCAGGTGTATTAGTTCTGGGGCCTCTTGGGAGAGGCTCTTTTGCAGGCCAAGGTCAGCCACTGCCTGTCCCCTGCTGGGGCAACTTGGTATAAGCTATGAAGTGATTTGCAAATGACTGCCACTTGTGCTGGGCTTGGAAGTGCCTGGGAGAGGTTAAGCTGAGAACCAGTCCTACTGCCACTAATGCTTGCTTTGAGGCCCCTTAGCAAGAGGTACGGAGCATGCTGAGGCCAGATGCTGCTTGTCTGGCATTTGTCAACCTTTGAGAGATTTTAGAAAAGTCTGCAGCATGAGCTAAGACAAGCCATTTGTCTAAAACCCACTAGAAGCGGCTGAGGTGAGCCTGCAAGTTGGGAGGAGGAGGATCTCAGGAAATCACCAGAGCAGGGCAAATGGTGTTGGCCAGATCAATGGAAACTCAGATATGGCGCTCACCCATGTCTGCACTATGGGAATGGGGAGGGCTCAACAAAGAAACAATGGATTCTGCCAGCATTTCTGTGTGGGAGAAAACTGCTCCTCCAGCCCTGGCCCTGATGCCAGATAATTCAATTCCTCCCCATATGCCCCTGGCGCCTTTAGAGTTGCTGCCGCAGCACTAGAGCTCAGAGCGAATGAGTCTATCAGCGAGTGTGTCTGTGTGGGGCCTTTAAGAGGAACTCCTGGGATTCCAGTCACCTTCTGTCTCACTCAGCCACGATCTCTGCTGATTTAAACAGATAGAAGCTATAGAGACTTCTCTTTCCAGCACTAGAACCCGGGGCTGGGAAGCCTCATATGGGGCTAGGTCCCCTCACTCCTCAGGGGGGACCCCCGCAGTCTACATATTCCTCCTGATTTTTAGCCGCCACATGTGGTGTGGGACCAGCCCATTCCATGTCTCCACCTCTCCCACCAGTCTCGACGTAGTTCCTTCTGTATGTCTTTAGTTTTGGACTTCTGGTCAGTTAGACTTCAGGCGATTCTCAATGATGTCTGTTCTGCAGTTAAGTTGTAATTTTGATGTGGCCATGAAAGGAGACAAGCACAGTATTTACCTACTTTGGTGTCTTGACCAGTAAATTTGCTGTTATTAAGAGTCTTCCCTTTGTACTTGGTCAAACCAAGACAAACAATTTCAAACATTCAAAAATAGGATTGCACAATGAAAAAATGAAAAATCGATATTTTTAAACCAAGTCATCTCAAGTAATAAAATAATAAATCTTTATACTGAGATAGTTTCTAATTTTACTTCTTGAAAATGCTAGTCAGTATGAGAGATATGAAGATGGCAGATATAAAAACCTTCCATCTATAAGGTACATTACATTTTATAAAGTTCTTTCTCTTTCATGAGCTCCATTTTCTTGCCTTGAATAATGAAGCACTTCAAGCCAAAGATCAAGAAGCAGCAACAGAATAATAAAAATCAGGCAGCTGTCAAATAGCTGCATTAGCGTCAGATTAACCAAATGCCAACTGTTTCCAAATATTTGTTTTTGCTTCAAGGTATATTTTAAAATATATTTTGCAATCAGGTATGCCGAGTCTCCTTAAATGAAAATGATGGAAATCAATGTGATCTTTGAAAACCAGAGAATATTTTAGAGAAAGCAAAATATTGCTCTTCAACTTATTCCTGATTCAGGTCCAAAAGAGAATCCCAAAATATGAAATTCGGATCTACTACCACCTACAAGGCCAACTGTCAAAGTTCTTAATGGTACAAAATTTCTGAATAAATCTATCTTTTGACTTAAATCCCAACACAGTATATCAAAGGGACACTATCATGGAAGCCCACAGCTGCAGGGAAGTGTCTGCCCAAATCTGGCTCCAGGGCAGGACTATGTGAGGGGGCTCAGCGCTCCTGCTGGTCCATGGACAATGCACGTCAGTGTTGAGGTTCTGGAGCCATAAGTGCTTCTAGCCTTGGAGAAAAAAAAAAAAAAAAAACTACCAGTGACATTAATCCAAATGTCACTTCAGCTGGAGCAGTGCCTTCTCCTAAAGAACAGATTTTAGACTCAGGACACCCAGATCCCCCAAAACAGAAGTCCTGACAGTTGGATCTGCAGAATCAGGCATGCCAACTAAACTGTTGGCACGATTTTCCAGAGCATCGTTATGTCCATACCAAATACAGTCCATGTTGCCTCCTGTGATGAGTTGAATTGTTGAAGTCCTAGCCCCAATACCTCAGAATGTTTTTGGAGATAGGGTCTTTAAGGGGATAATTAAGTTAAAATGTGGTCATTAGGATGGGCCTTAATTCAGTCTGACTAGTGTCCGTCTTAAGAAGAGATTAAGACAGAGACACAGTAAGAAGATGACATGAAGACAAAGAGAAGACAGCCATCTATAAGCCAAGGAGAGAGGCCTCAGAAGAAATCAAACTGGTTGACACCTTAATCTTGGACTTCCAGCCTCAGAATTGTGAGGAAATAAATTTCTGTTGTTTAAGCCACTCAGTCTGTGATACTTTGTTATGGGAGCCTGAGCAAACTAATACACACACAGCCTTAAACAGGGGAATGTTTTATTGCAGTGCCCCTTGATAAATTACAACTTAAGTATAACTTTTGTTACCTACATGTGAAATTCAAATTATAATTAATATTAATAGGTGTACACAAACATGACTCGACCTACTGCTTAACAAAAGCAAACAAGAAAATAATAAAAGTCTCCTATTTTATGCATTTTTCCCCTTCTTTCTTTTTTACCTTGTGGTAAAACTTTAAGGTAATTTCTTCTGACATTCAGTTCTCGTAGAGATTTCAATTGACCTATCTGCTGGGGCAAGGCTGTGATCTCGTTGCAGCTGACATCCTGCATCAAAAGCAAAGAGAGAAATAATAAATGCCTTTTCCCAGGAAATCAAGCACTTCATGTGAAATCCCCATAAGGAATTTAAATAGGACAACTACATAGGTAGACGTTCTTATTGGTCTCCAGGTTCCTAGCCAGGTAAGGCTATGTTCAGGGGAGAAAAGAAAAGTTCAGTGATTTAAACATCCGCTGAAAAAAAGGAAAAGGAAAATGGAGGGACGTTGGTAGCGTTGAGTCGCTCCTTCACCAGCCTCTGGGCCTCTGCCACTTCCACGTGCTTCAATCATATTTAACCCTCAGAGGAAACCCACGAGGCAATATAACTATCCTAATGGTTACAGATCAGAAAAGCGAGGCTCAAAAAAGCAAAGTCACTCGTCCAAGGTTTCCAAGTGCCAGAGTTAATACTTGGAACGAATTATCAGCGCATTGTTCAGCCACTATCACGTAGAACCTCCACATAGATGAGAACGCATTCTACTTCACTAAACGCTCACATTTTACAGTGAAAAACTATAAATGTCTGCATTGTTTGGGTGTACTATTTTATTAAAATAGAGGTCTTACCGGAGGGCTGGAAGCCTTGGACCCGAATACCTTTACATACATTTTATAAGCAATACTGCGGGGTATGCAGACTGTGTCTGCTTTGCTTTGGAAGGCTACTACTCCATTCATCATTGATTGGGACCACCTCTTGACACGTGTGAAATGACATTTTTAATATTACATATCCTTATTATCTCCCCTAATCCCACTCTTCCTCGTGGCTCTGGTAGCTCTGCCCTGCTCTTCGCCCCCTCACCTCAGCTACTCCTTCCTTTAGTCTAGACCAGCATTATCTCTCACCTACACACTACGATGGTCTCCAGCTGCTTTCCATGCATCATTCTCCTCCTCAGGCCCATCTTTCCCAGAGTGAAAATTTACACAGCGTAAATTTCGCTGTCATTTATCAGCTTAAAAATTTGCAACAGCTCCTCAGGAACTATACGCTAAAGTCTCGAACTCTGCAGGCAGCAAGACCCAGCTCTATAGTTCTGCCTACTTTTCCAGTGCCATCTCTCTGAATGCCTGCCCTCTCTCCCTTACATCCTATACTCAAACCCCGTTACTGCTGCTTGCAGTTCCCAGTGTGTGCCAAGCCATTTCACAGTCCCCAAACTTTTTCAGGCTCTTCCCCTGCCTGGTATGTCATTCCCCAGCATTGTTCTCTTGTCCCACCTACTAATCTTTTAAGACTTAATTTAAGCCTCACTTCCTCCTTGAAACTTGTCTTGAGGCTTCCGCCACCTCTCCTGCTCCAACAGAGAAAACTGACCACTTTTCCTTTGTGGTTCTATAGATAGTCCACTTACTGTACTCATCTGCTCAAATGTCTCCCTTCTCCAATAAGCCTGTACGCTCCTAGATGGAAGAGACCATGTCTTATTCACTTTGTTTTCCTGGTGCCGAGCAGAATGCCAGGTGTGAAATAAGGGATCAATAAATGTTGGATGAAGTCCATTACTGCTGATGTCCAGGATGCTGCAGTTTATTCTGTCTCATGGCTGGGACCACAGGATGTGCCAAATCTCTTGCAGGTCTTGCTTGGTATTGTAGAAACATATATTTGGGCTATGAATGATCCCAGTGAGCTCAAGTCCTTAAATATTCCACATCACTACTGAACCTGCAAAAATTCCTCCTTTTACTGCCCTTTTTAGAAGGTAGCAAAGCTTTATTTCAGAAATCAGTTTCACATTCACTCAGATAAGACAAACTTGTCATAATACCAACTGCCCTCACATGGAGGCTATACAGAACACAGTGGATCGCTGCCCTCTAATCTCATCTAAACATCCTCAAATGACCTGCCAATCTGTCAAGATCATGAGTATGCTAAATGAGTATCACTTGATGAAGAGTAATAAAATTGAAGAGGAATTTTCACTTAAAAGGCTAACCTTATAATCAGCACTTTGTTCTGCTTCTGTAGATATGCTTGCCACATATGCATAGGCCGTAGGGCAGGGAGACCTCGAAATTAACTAAAGACTCATTCTCTCTTTTGCTTGTTCTGTCTAAATAACAAATGTAACTGCCTGTAACCCATAGTAACTCCTACACTCTGTAACCGCCTGAGGACAAATTAACCAATCGGCCCATGCCAAATAAGCCCTATTTAAGCAAAGTTGCAACTGAGCCCTGGGCCCAGATCTTCAGAGCGCTAGCTCCTCTGGGACCACTGGCATAATATACCTAAGTTCTCCAATTCTCCAAGTGGTGCTTGGTTTCTCGCAGGTCCGACTGCAACATTTCTGCAAGAGTATCACTCCTATCAAAGGGACTGAAGCTGCTATCTGTAAAGGCTGAGGGCACACCATACAATCAGCCCACCATACTGTTCTGTACTCAGCTGTGTGTCTGGGGGTAGAGGTTGGGGGTGGCATGTGATGGATTAAGAACGCTAAGTATTCAATGGCATCTCCTCCAAGCTGGCTGCTGCTGCATCGCTCCTGGTGTAGAAAAGTCACACATTTTATGAAAAACATCCTTAGTGTTAAAACAAAACAAAACAAAACAAACAAACAAAATGACCCGCAAGCACATCTGCAGAGACATAAAAGTCCAAGGAAGTAATTATAGAATTAGGAGGTCCAGAGATTTGTTCAGTTGCTCTTGGTCCCTCAGTGAGTCAATAAATTACTCTGCCTTTCTGAATATACTTCCATATATGAGAAGTGAAAAGTAAAATGCCTTCTTTTCCCAATTCCTATGGCATTTGATCAGTCACAGTAATAACCAAATCCTTTCAATGAAAGCTTTATCTTTCTTTGCCTTAACCAAATTACAAATAAGCATAAGGTACCATATTCCATTCTTTTTTAAAAGAGCCCTAACACAAATGTTACACAGGTAAGCCCTAGAGATATATGAAATTAAATCATTCTATTGGACTTGCAAAGTCACATTGGTGATGGCTGGGCTGGGGGTAGGGAGGAAGGGTCATGGGGGAAGAAATAATTGAAATTATTTTCTATCTCGAGAGAGTTTATGTTATTGACAACTAAAATAAGTTTTATAAGTCTGTGAGTGACAGACCCTTTTCAGTTCTTGAGAATCACAGATTTTCAATGTGAAACTGACAATTTAAAGAAGCTTCAAGGACATAAATTTTCAAAACATCCTTCTCTTAAAAAAAAAGGAGAGGGAAGAAGGAAACAAGAAGATAACATATGTAGGCAGCATATTTGCAGCATGAAATCTCGTGAGATTTTTGTTCCATTTTTTCCTGTGTACTGTATTTATCTTGTACTTGTTAACAGCATTACCCTCTGGTTAGCCAGAATTTAGGGTATGCTGTTTCTCTAAATATAACGTGCTTTTTCCAACATATATTTCTAACATAATGGCTTTATCAAAGAAAAGCAACTTCCCTCAGTTATATTTAAATGCTTATTTACCAGTAGGAAAATGGTTACTCAATTTACTTTTTGTTTTTTTTCTTTTTTTAAAGAACTTCACATAATGATAAAAACAAATTTTTCCCTCTGACTTACAAGACAGGACATCTGTAGACAATGAGGAACACAAAATCCAATTGTCCATTCACATTTTGAAAGTTATATGGTGAAGGTCAAATTATTTTAATAATACTCTGCTGTCAATTACTTCCTGTCCTGCAAAGTTTAGGGGAAGGATGCCCAGGCAAATCTAGCATACAAGTGAGATAAGGACTTTTCACTACTGTGCAATCAATATTGTAGAAAACTGCACAAAACTTTATTCTATCCCAGTTACTGAATTTAAGAGGTTATGAATTTCACCACAAAAATAAAACCCTTAGGTAGTTATGTCTTAAAGTTAGCTGGGAACAAGGAGAAGGAAAGAGAAGATAGTGGTCTAGATACTTTGGGATAAGATATTTCCGTGTAGAAAACGTAAAAGCAGTATTCCTGGAACGTCATGGTTCTTTAGAACATGTCTGGCCATGGTTAGCCCAAGATAAGATGGGGCACTTTTTTTTTTTTTCAGTTCATTAAAGAAAATAAGATTTATGGGGCAGGGCGAGGGGGGAACACTAATGCTTCACACTTCTGCAATTAATTAGAATTTTACCAAGGTATGAATTCCAGGTTAAGAATAGTCAAATGAATTCCTTCTGAATTATCTATTAGCCCTAAGCTATGTCTTAGAGAAAGAAAATTATTCCAAACTTTAGTGAAATAAAATTACCATATATTTAGTGTTACAATACCACAAATATACAAGTAGAATCATCATAAACATGTTATAAATATTTACTAATTCCATTATTTTTGACACAAATAATAACATAAATACTCAAACAAGTTTTTTATGGATCAGCCAGTTCGATTTTGTCATTTCCATAAAAAACAAAATAGAGACTTTTAATTACGACTTAAAACTTATTTTCCACTGGTTTAATAAAAATGCTTTTAAGTAACCAAAGGAAAAACTTTAAAAGTTAAGATTCTCATTTCATCAGAGCTTTTCTAGGCAGTAAAAGAAGTCTCTAGAAGTGTTAAATGACTGTTGGAAATTGATACATTTTTGCTGACTAAGTGCTAGTTGCTAACTTACCTTTAAGATGCAAAAATGACAAGAATTTAAAACATCAGAGTAAATTCTGAGATTATTAATAGGTAATACTAGGTAATGCTTACTTTCAGAAAATAATGTTGTAAAAAAGAGCAGAAGTGTTTTTTAAGGTGTGACCTCTAATGAAAACCAACATAAATATTGTGTCAAGATGATCTCTTTAGAGAAGATTTTCAGTGAAGCCAGGCCATACTGCGGAATTGCACATGATATTAACATGAGCTACCTTGCTCTGCCTCTCAGGTTTTAAAAAACTTGGTGTGGTTATACTATTGCTTAAGCCATATTTTGGTAAAAACTCTAGCTCTTTTTTTAATTAGAGGAAACATAAGTGTTCTGACAGAAAATGTAAGCTGGCCTTCCATCATGCCTTGTTTTTTGGAAATCTCTTTTGT